ATAATAATAATAATAATAATAATAATAATATCAATAATAATAATAATAATAATAATAATAATATTATAGATAATAATAATAATAATAATAATAGTAATAAGAACAAACCTGCTCTTTTAAACATTATTTGTTGTTACGGATACACATTTTTTTCAAACAAGAAAATCAACAAAAATAATAATTAGACACATTTTAATTGTTTATTTAATTAATTTTATTTAAAATAAAACATGATGAATGATTTCATAACTAAAAAGATTCAAATTACAAAAAAATCATTTTTTCTTTGCTGATAAATATATAAATTCATTACTGAGGGGGTGGGAGGGGGTATTCAGACCTTATTTAAGTAACATAAAAATGGCTAAAACACCGTTTTTCGAACAGGAGACTGAAAAATCCGCAAACTATTCATAAAAAAAAACTGCGAACTACTTAGAGATTATCTATTCTCGGAGTTGCCCAAACACAATCCGTCTCAATTCCAAGATTATTTTTATGCATAGCAATCCTGAAGAACCCGTACTCCCCCCAGTAGGTTCCCCAGGAGTTCCTCCCAATCCAGTACTCCTGACCAGTACCTGGATCAGTTCCCCATCCAACCACGGAGATCTCGTGATTGATGACGGGATGCTTGATCTTCTCCGAGTATATCCCCCCGGCGTAGCTGTCAAAAGCGTCCGTAGAGTCTACTCCACAACCTGGAAGAGAATTTTAAAGGTTAATGTAATTTATGTAACCCTTCTTCATTGCAAAAACAAAAAATTCAGCCCCTTTCAAATTTTTGTAAAAACAGTTTTTTGATATTTTAAGAATGGTCATGAAAAGCCATAGGATAAAATTTCACTTGCAGAGATATTTTTGACAAAAAAAATATGAACACTTAAAAAATTTACCAATAGGTCCACGCTTCATAATCTCTTTCTTCATATTTTCTGCTCCTCTCACATACCCATACTCATCAGCGAAATATCTTGAAACAAACAAAACTGTGAAAAAACTGATAAATTTCATTTGTTAAACTTCTGGTAAAACTATTTGCTTTGTAACAGTATCAAGTACAAATAAGATTGCTCAAATGTTGTCTTTCTAGTTCACTGTTTTACGGGGCCCACTATGGATCAAGCAGGAATTGAAAAATAAGAATTTTTAAACCATCTCAAATGAAATCTTTAACATTGAAAAGCATCTCGTGAAAAAAAATTATCCGGAGGCCGAATTTAAAGAATTCAAGTCGCGGCTTTAATCCACCAAAACCCGGTTAAATCAAGCGCCGGCTTAAATCTTGAAAAATTTGATAGAATTTTAAGTGAAACCAACCATAATTAAGCCGCGGCTTAAATTTAAACCGCGGCTCAAATTCTTTAAATTCGGCCTCGGAACTATTTAAATTACCTTTTGAATGATTTTTTTGCCCAGCAATTAGGTTTCTCTCCAACAGCAGGTGGGGGCCATGTACAATCCCGACACACATCTATATCCGGTTTACTAAACAATATCCGGTTAACTAAACAATATCCGGTTTACTAAACTATATCCGGCTATTAAACATGTAACTAGTTATTGAAAGCAATAGAAATAAATTTTCAGCTTTTAGTTGATAAAACAGTGAAGAACTAGACAATATGGTCTGCAGTAAAGAGTCTTGATCCTCAAGTTAGATGAAGCTGGAATCCTATCTTTATTTACAAAAAATAACTGTACTGCAGATTCTTGGAAGAATGTAATTGTAAACAAACTTTTTATTCATATTTCTCCCAGAAACTGCACTTTACTTTTTTAACGAAGATCCTTTGATTCAAGGTTATCTTCCATAGTACACAGAACAACACACTTTCACACTTTAACCCATTCTTTGCCGGATAAAATCTCTGGATTCCCTGTGTACTGTACTGTACCTGCAGTCCTGTACTGGTCCCCTATTCTCTGCCTCGTAAACCATACAGGTAACATCTGGAACTCCCACCTGAGCTGCGAACTCATAAACTGCTGCAGGGTTACCTCCTTCACAGGAGCCACCAGCTCGACAGTTTATTATAACCTAGATCACATAAAATTAACGTAAAAGAATTGAACCTTTTCCACACTTTATCTTTGCCACCTGACGACATCTGGTTGCAAAGATAAAGGGATTAGAAAATCAGAGTTTTGTGGCAAAGACTCTATTCATTTTACAGAAAACAGAAATCTTTTAAGTTTTCAAGCCTAACTCCTATTTAATTGAAAAGCTATGCATATCGAAAAGAACAAAAATGTTTTAAATTTCTAGTTTGTATTTGCATTTCTCATATAAGTTGATAATCAAGCAGAAAATGTACCAGTAACTGCAATATCTTTGTTTACATCGAAATACAAAATATTACTACTTGGCAGTTTCTTTGAGCAATATAGACCACCGGGTACATTCCTAGTACATTATTTTAAATCAAGAAACAATCGAGAAAATCATAAACCTGCTGAGAAAGAGTAGAATGAAGATTAAACCTGCGGAGAAAGAGAAGAATAAAGATTAAACCTGAGGAGAAAGAGTAGAATAAAGATTAGACCTGAGGAGAAAGAGTAGAATAAAGATTAAACCTGCTGAGAAAGAGTAGAATAAAGATTAAACCTGCTGAGAAAGAGTAGAATAAAGATTAAAGCTGCTCAGAAAGAGTAGAATGAAGATTAAACCTGCGGAGAAAGAGTAGAATAAAAATTAAACTTAAGGAGAAAGAGTAGAATAAAGTTTAAATCGAGAAAATCTAAACCTGCTGAGAAAGAGTAGAATAAAGATTAAAGCTGCTGAGAAAGAGCAAAATAATAATTAAAACTGAGGAGAAAGAGAACGATAAAGATTAAACCTGAGGAGAAAGAGTAGAATAAAGATTAAACGTGCAGAGAAAGAATAGAATAAAGATTAAACCTGAGGAGAAAGAGTAGAATAAAGATTAAACCGGAAAAGAAAGAGTAAAATAAAGATTAAACCTGAGGTGAAATAGTAGAATAAGATTAAACCTGCTGAGAAAGAGTAAAACAAAGATTAAAGCTGAGGAGAAAGAGTAGAATAAAGATTAAACCTGCTGAGAAAGAGTAGATTAAAGATTAAACCTGAGGACCATAATTATTAAACCTGAGAAGAAAGAGTAGAATAAAGATTAAACATCAGGAAAAAGAGTAGAATAAAGATTAAATCTGAGGAGAAAGAGCAGAATATAGATTAAACCTGCTGAGAAAGAGTAAAATAAAAATTAAACCTGAAGAGAAAGAGTAGAATAAAGATTAAACCTGAAAGAAAGAGTAGAATAAAGATTAAACCTGAAAGAAAGAGTAGAATAAAGAGTAAACCTGAAAGAAAGAGTAGAATAAAGATTAAACCTGAAAGAAAGAGTAGAATAAAGAATTAAACCTGAAAGAAAGAGTAGAACAAAGATTAAACCTGAAAGAAAGAGTAGAATAAAGATTAAAACTGAAAGAAAGAGTAGAATAAAGATTAAACCTGAAAGAAAGAGTAGAATAAAGATTAAACCTGAGGAGAAAGAGCCAGGTTCGGAAATTTATCTCCAGCTGCAATCTGGAATCTGTCAGCTAGAGCAGCAAGGGTTCCCTAAAAAAATAATGTTAAAGCAAAAGAACAAAAAAAATAAAAATTTTATTAAATTTAAAATCCTAAAGGACAATTTATTGATTAAAAAAGCATTAAAAGAAGAGAAACTTTTCTAACTAGAATATTGAAAAATATTGAAACATATTAAAAAACTATTTTTTAGAGGAATTGAAGAATATCCTAGTCTTTTTTGATCTGGAAATTTTAAAATTCAAAATGTGGTTTCTCTATAAAAGTGCCTTACGTATTTATACAGGAGAAACAAGGATGGAAATTGTCTGAATTTATCACTTTTCCAGATAGAAAAACGACATATTCTTCCTCATTGATGCTCAGAAAAAGGTTAAAATGGCACTTTTGTGAAGCAGGCATGGAAGTAGTTAAAGGGGGGGGGGGTCCCCTGAATATTCCTTTAAATATACATTTTTATTAATGTTTAATACATTGTTTATAAACTTGTTATCTTCTACAAACATTGACAGACTTGGGGAGATAAAAATAATAAAAGATTTTCAAGATTTACAAATTTTAAACAATTTTATAATATATTAATATTACAACTTAGAAGGGATAAATAATTTCTCCTTAATAACAAGAAAAACGCTATCGTCGTTTTTGCCTTAAAAAGAATTAATTTTGGCAATTCCTTCTTTTCTCTAAATTGCATAAATCCGCGAGTCACTTTTATTTAGAATCAAAAATAGAAAATAATTAATTTTTATCTAGAAAAACAAGGATAAGAACTTATTCATCTTTGATAAGATAAAGGTTTGAAGATTAATGGAGGTTTTTTTTTAAAGAAATTGGACATGGCGTGAAACTCATGTCTTTTTAAAAGTACTTTTTTTACCTGAGCCCAGCAGGATCCACAGTATTTAGGTATATGTTGGTTAACAGTCCAGGATAGATAATTCTTCCCTAAAATATTATTTTTTCAAATTCAAAATATAAATTGTAAAACAAAAATTTTTAGATGTTAAGATGTTGATGACTTAGAAAAAAGAATTACACATAATATATTATATTGTATTTAAAAATATTATTTTAAAAAAAATCTAAATTATGATTTAATTGATAAATAAAAATGTATTGTTTTCGAGTTTTAATAATGATTTCGAAAAAAAATTACACATAAATAAAAATGATTAATTCTGTATTATTTTCTAATCCTTGGATCTTTGCAACTTTTGATATTTAAACTTCAAATTATTAATTTCTTAATTAAAAAAGGTTTACACTATTAGGTGGCAAAGATATAGGGATTAGAAAATTAAGGTTTGAGGTAAAATTTATTCTTTTTTAAAATTCTAATAGTTTGAGAATAATTCCATTAAATCAAAAGATAATGCTTTAAAGATATTTTCTAAGAAAAGTTTTTATTAACTTTTTATTAACTAATGTCGTGTATTGACAATTCCTAATAATATTTGCTATTCTATTTCTTAAAGTGCAATATACATACAGTATATAAGTAAACATCAAAGAAATAGTTTAAAATAAAATAATTTAAGGCTTTTTAATAAATGACAATAAAAGTTTAACATCAGTAAACAAAATTTTAAGGTTTGCATAATTTAATTTTTCCAAAATTTTTTTTAAATATCTAAATAATTTGTTTTAAGTTTTGTTTATTATGATTTTTTTACGCTATTTCTGCGTATAAAGTATGAACTCTATGTTCTATCTACGGAATTGAAGAAAGAAAATCCAAGTTCAAAGTTCAAATTTCTTTCTGTAAAAACAAAAATGCCAAATGTGAGATGAGACATAAAATCAGGTTTTAAGTTTTAAAGGGAAAATAGAAAAACAAGGAAAATTAAGTTTTAAGAATTAATATATTTTTCTATTTTAATTATATCCGTTATATGGAGTCTCGTTTTTATTCATTCTTTACAGGGACAGTATAGTATGTACCACGCACCTCTGCCCCTTTAGTAAAAGTAAATTGAACCTATATGAAGCATAAAGTCTGACTGCGTCAACCTTGTTGCACTGGCTAGAGCTAGGTACAGTACAAACTGGGACCGGAAAGGGTGACGCAGCTTGGAAATTCAAATGTACTACGGCTGCCCGTGGTATGTTTATACGTATAATTTTAAATTTTAAAGCTGCATTTCCTTTAACAACGGAACCCTTTACAGCGTTATCTGAAAAACAATGAGGTAGATATCGGCATTTTTCTATCTTAAAAATGCTGAATTCTAATAATTTAATCTTTGTCCCGAGTTATATATCTGCCAGTAACTTTTATAGACACCCAAAATTAAAGATTACCAATTTACATATTGAAAATCTTCTTCATGAGACACGCTAGCTAGCTCAGTTTTAAGTTTGTTATGATTTTTCCACTTTTCTTACAATTCTTTAAAAAGTTATTCTTTGGTCTTTATTATTAGCTGGGACCCTGTAATAAATACAGAGGTCCCATAGTAAATCTAGATAAATTACGTTTTATATAGCTAAATGCGCTCATTAGTAAATACGTAAATCATGTATTGCGATTAACCCAATCTTGATATGTAGTTATTAAACCCATATTGTGATTACTTAACTATGCTATGCATAACAGCGCATAACTTGTAATTACACTTTTAAAACATAACTTTAATCTAACATCTAAAAATATATAGAGCCATTTGATTTGATAGTAATTTGGTTCTCGTTGAAACTTACTGGCTGAGATTGCGCCCATTGGTTTGGCATTGATCGATTACTAGCTAGTGTCCATGTTGACATTGATAGCTGACGAGTTCTCGTTGAAATTTACGAGCTGAAATTGTGCCTATTTTGCATGGGTTTGGCATTGATTCGAGCTAGTGTCCGTTTGACATCGATAGCTCATCAGATCGTGCCCATTGGTTTGGCATTGATCGATTACTAGCTAAGTGTCAGTGTTGACATCGATAGCTGACGAGTTCTCGTTGAAACATACGAGCTATTGTGCCAATTAGTTTTACATTGATAGTTTACAAGCTATAGTGTCTGGGTTTAGACATTGTCAGTGAAACTGAAATGTACCTGGATAGATAGGATTTTGAGGAACCCTTATGGAGTAAGGCATTTACTACAACCCAACCATTTAAAAATATTTTTCTTAATTCAACCTGAGACATTTCTCCAGTCCCAGTTATCAGGGAGCTGAGCAGTATCCATGGTTTGGTGAGGTAGAGGGCTGGTTACTCGTTCTCCACCAAGATATAGGGTTCTCTGTACTCTACATGTACCCTAGAAATACAGGATATTAGAGGGTTCTCTGTGCTCTACATGTACCCTGGATATACAGTATATTAGAGGGTTCTCTGTACTCTACATGTACCCTAGATATACAGGATATTAGAGGGTTCTCTGTGCTCTACATGTACCCTGGATATACAGTATATTAGAGGGTTCTCTGTACTCTACATGTACCCTGGATATACAGGATATTAGAGGGTTCTCTGTGCTCTACATGTACCCTGGATATACAGTATATTAGAGGGTTCTTTGTACTCTACATGTACCCTGGATATACATGATATTAGATGGTTCTCTGTACTCTACATGTACCCTAGATATACAGGATATTAGAGGGTTCTCTGTGCTCTACATGTACCCTGGATATACAGTATATTAGAGGGTTCTTTGTACTCTACATGTACCCTGGATATACATGATATTAGATGGTTCGCTGTACTATACATATACCCTGGATATAAGGGATATTAGAGGGTTTTCTGTACTCTACATATACCCTGGATATAAAGGATATTAGAGGGTTCTCTGTACTCTACATGTATCCTGGATATATAGGATATTAGAGGGTTCTCTGTACTATACATATACCCTGGATATACGGGATATTAAAGGGTTTTCTGTACTCTACATGTACCCTAGATATACAGGATATTAGAGGGTTCTCTGTACTCTACATATACCCTGGATATACTGGATATTAGAGGGTTCTCTGTATTCTACATGCACCCTGGATATACAGGATATAAGAGGGTTCTCTGTACTCTACATATACCCTGGATATACAGGATATTAGAGGGTTCGCTGTACTATACATATACCCTGGATATACGGGATATTAGAGGGTTTCTACATGTACCCTGGATATATAGGATATTAGAGGGTTCTCTGTACTCTACATATACCCTGGATATACAGTATATTAGAGGGTTCTCTGTACTCTACATGTACCCTAGCTATACTGGATATTAGAGGGTTCTCTGAACTCTACATGTACCCTGGATATACAGTACATTAGAGGGTTCTCTGTACTCTACATGTACCCTGGATATGTAGTACATTAGAGGGTTCTCTGTACTCTACATGTACCCTGGATATACATGATATTAGATGGTTCGCTGTACTATATATATACCCTGGATATACGGGAAATTAGAGGGTTTTCTGTACTCTACATATACCCTGGATATACAGGATATTAGAGGGTTCTCTGTACTCTACATGTACCTTAGATATACAGGATATTAGAGGGTTCTCTGCGCTCTACATGTATCCTGGATATACAGTATATTAGAGGGTTCTCTTTACTCTACATGTACCCTGGATATACAGGATATTAGAGGGTTCTCTGTACTATACATATTCCCTGGATATACGGGATATTAGAGGGTTTTCTGTACTCTACATATACCCTGGATATACAGTATATTAGAGGGTTCTCTGTACTCTACATGTATCCTAGATATATAGGATATTAGAGGGTTCTCTGTACTCTACATATACCCTGGATATACAGGATATTAGAGGGTTCTCTATGTACCCTGGATATACTAGATATTAGAGGTTTCTCTGTACTCTGCATGTACCCTGGATATACGGGATATTAGAGGGTTCTCTGTACTCTACATGTACCCTGGATATACATGATATTAGAGGTTTCTCTGTACTCTGCATGTACCCTAGCTATACTGGATATTAGAGGGTTCTCTGTACTCTACATGTACCCTGGATATACTGGATATTAGAGGTTTCTCTGTACTCTGCATGTACCCTGGATATACGGGATATTAGAGGTTTCTCTGTACCCTGGATATACGGGATATTAGAGGGTTCTCTGTACTCTACATGTACCCTGGATATACGGGATATTAGAGGGTTCTCTGTACTCTACATATACCCTGGATATACGGGATATTAGAGGGTTCTCTGTACTCTACATGTACCCTAGCTATACTGGATATTAGAGGGTTCTCTGTACTCTACATGTACCCTGGATATACATGATATTAGAGGTTTCTCTGTACTCTGCATGTACCCTGGATATACGGGATATTAGAGGTTTCTCTGTACTCTGCATGTACCCTGGATATACGGGATATTAGAGGTTTCTCTGTACTCTGCATGTACCCTGGATATACAGGATATTAGAGGGTTCTCTGTACTCTACATGTACCCTGGATATACTGGATATTAGAAGGTTCCCTGTGCGCTGTGTATATACCATGAAAAGTAACGGTTTTTCATCCTTAGCTTTTCTATTTTTCTGTGCTTCTCTTTCAATATGTCTATCTATTTCTTAGTTTCTTTATTTCTCTTTCTAATTGTCTATCTATTTTTCTTTCTAATAATTGTCTATCTATATCTCTATTTTACTTTCTAATTGTTTATCTATATCTCTATATTTCTTTCTAATTTTCTTATCTTTATCTCTATTCACTTTCTAATTGTCTATCTATATCTCTATTTTACTTTTTGATTGTCTATCTATATCTCTATTTCTCTTTCTACTTTTCTATCTATATCTCTATTTCTCTTTTTCTACTTGTCTATCTATATCTCTATTTTTCTTTCTACTTGTCTATCTATATCTCTATTTTGCTTTCTAATTGTTTATCTATATCTCTATTTCTCTTTCTAATTGTCTGTCTATATCTCTATTTTTCTTTCTTATTGTCTATCTATATCTATATTTCTCTTTCTAATTGTCTATCTATATCTCTATATCTCTTTCTAATTGTCTATCTATATCTCTATTATTATTTACATTCATATCTCTCTTTCTATCTCTATATCTTCTTATCCCTCTTTTTTATCTATTTGTCTATCTATCAATCTATCTTTCTGTCAATCTGCATAACTGTAAATATCATATGTATTTTCGACTTTCTTTTTGGTTGTCTTTCTGTCTGTCTAGCTGTCTAACTGTCTATACGTCAGTCAGTTATGTTACAGTATGGCAAAGATTTGGATAATAATTTTTTTTAAAAATTTTAAATGTTTTATATTATTGATTGATGTAAAGGAAAAGTTTAATTACCCTGGTTTTAGATTTTTTATTCTTCCTGAGAACTTGTCTAATCAGATTCCAAACATTATTGATCAATCGGCTTCCAGAGTCAGTCTCCTTAAACATAGAATATAGATACTTAGATTATGCTATTGTACAGAGTTAAACACAAAGAATGTGACTGCAAAGACGACTTGCAACTCTTCAAATATGACAATCCTCAGTTAAAATTAAGTCTTTTGGCTTGAATGTGACTTTTAATTGGCTGATTTAATGATTTGGCAAAGAAAGAAAGAAGTTTCTATATCTAGTTGCAGGGAATCATGAATGGAATCAGACAGTATAAATCAAATGTAAATTGTCCAAACTGGCAAAAAAAGGTTTTACTCTCACAGGTAGAAAAACTCGGGTTTGGAAATTAATTTCGATAAATTTTATATCCTTTTCAGTCCTACAGAAAATGACCAAAATTATTACAAATTAAAAATAAAGATAATGTAACAAATACTTTCTAGAAATTTATTAAAAAGTAAGCAAATTAGGGGAGGGGGTTTTTTGAAGTGGAATAAAAAATGAAAAGCGTAAGAATTATGGTCAACCTTAAAGAATGGTGGTATTGTCAAAACTGAAAGAAATGTTCATTGAATTAAGGGTTGGGGGTGGGTGAGGGGAAAGGGGTTAGGAGAATAGGTTGACCGACACAGATACGAAAATACGAGTTTTGAATTTGTGGGGCAGGGGGCAACGTATGTTTATTTTTTATAAATTAAGTTAGGTTAGGTTAGGTACAACTGTCCTATAGTTTTCTCCTTAGTGGGTAACCCTGCATCAACAATTTTTTTTCTTCATTTTTTGTAAACCTTATAATTATAGATACTGATTTAAAAGATTAAAATATAGAAAAAATATTGCATAAAAGAAGCAAGAAATTTTGAATATCTTGGAATTGTTTTAAAAATGTTAAGAGCTTTTTTGGGGCATGAAATTATTTAGGAAGTTTACAATACCTGGAAATTGTTTGGGAAGTTTGCAATACCTGGAAATTTTTTGGGAAGTATATAATTACAATACCTGGAAATTATTTGGGAAGTTTACAATACCTGGAAATTATTTTGGAAGTTTACAATACCTGGAAATTATTTGGGAAGTTTACAATACCTGGAAATTATTTGGGAAGTGAACCTCTGACCATGTATCCTTAGGAACAGCCCATGAGCACATGCCGCTCTCAATTCCCACATTATTAATCCCTCTCTCCAACCTGAAGAACCCGTTCTCACCCCAGTATGTTCCCCAGGAGTTCCTCACCTCCCAGAACTTCTTCCCGTTCTCCACCCCGTACCCAACCACAGAGATATCATGGTTGATCTCCGTAGCGTTGGTCATGTCAGTGAATATTCCTCCAGTGTACTCCAACAAAGCATCAGTTACAGAAATCCCGCAAGAAATTGGACCTCGTTGGTGGATTTCTCGCATCATGGCAGCCTCTTGATCATCTCCGGTGACGTCACCGTATTCTTCAATGGTGTAAGTTAAGTACTTTTTTGGCTTGGTGCACCCGGTCTCAGGCCAGCAGGTCTCGCAGGTCGATATAGCCGAGCAGGGCATTCCGTTGTCATGTCCTCGAGCTACGTAGATGCTACAGGTTTCATCTGTGATCCCGTTCTCAGCGATCCATTGGTTTGCAGCTCCAGCATCCCCACCATGACAACCATCCATAGGTCCACATGATATCAAAACCTGAATTTTTAAAAATAAATTAACAAAATTCTAATTCGTTTTTAATTATTTACTTTTAAAAAATCTTATTGTTATTTTACCTGTGGAGCAATATTAATATCTGGCCAAGCAGCTTTACGGGCAATCTTGATTCGGTCAGAGAGAGATGATGTGGCAGCTTGTGCCCAGCATGAACCACAATATTGTGGTATATGCTGGTTCTTAGCCTAGAATATTATATAAAGATATGTGGTAGATCGGAAGATCATATTTTTTCAACCAGATTAAGTTAATAGTCAAGGGACTAATCAAAAAAAAGATAATTAAGCTCCCTGTTTTGATTTCAGTAATTTTTTATCCTAAACTTTATTAGCCTTTTTTATGTTCTAAATTTGTTTTGCTCATTAGAAAAAAGTATTCTCACAGTCCCAAATTGCCCCCCCCCCCCTCTCCATCAAACAGAACCACTTCAGTTTCACATCCTCAAATTTCGTTATTTCGTATCCGGTGAAACTATTTCATTGTTTAGATAAGATAAGATAAGATAAAGTTTATTGCTAAAATACATGTATCTGTATACAGATAGAGTTTACAATCACAAAATTGATGATTATATCAACAGTACAAGTATAGAGCAATTAGGTGGAAAATAGCTATTGGCTGTTTTGATTATTTTTTCCACCTAATTTTAGTAATAATAACAAAATATTTCAATTAAATAGATTTAAGGAGAACGATTAGAGATCAGGTTGCGAATTTATCATATGCAAAATAGTTTATACATAAATTCGAATAACTAGAGTTTAAAGTCATTTTCAGACATGTACACAACAAATATCAAAGCATATTAAAACATATCTAATTAGTTTTACATGAATAGCAATTCGGTTTATAACACATTGTCCTATAATTTTCAAAAAGAGAATTTAGTAGTCTATTTTTAAATATACTTAGAGAGTTGCTTCTTTTTAAGTCAAGAGGCAGGTTATTCCACATCTTAAGAAGATGTCATTTAGTTTTAGAAATACCACCATTCCATAAGAAATACCACCATTCCATACTTCTTTTTTTAGATAACTATATTTGTATATTGCATTTTTTTGTTATAATTTTTCCAAATATGGACAATTTACAGTATATTCGGGTGTGTCCAACATCAAATTGGATCGTTTATAATTATAAATTGCGATTTTCGGGACTAATCAGAATATTTTAAAAGAATGAATCATTTTAAAAATTGTAAAAGACATAATATAATACTAGGTTATGTTTTTCGAGTATTATGTGGATTTGGCTGGTAAAACTTGGTAATGATTCAATTCAATACGGGACACTTATACTATTAATTATAAGAGAAACAACATGCATATAGTGTTTTCTTAAATGTAGTTTATATCTCATGAATGTATCTTACTCTTAACCATATCAGAATAATTAATCCTAACAAGAACCAAAACATTGTGACACTTATAACTGCAGTGCATTATTTTATTTTACATCATACCATATAATATAATAATATACCATATAATATAATAATATACCATATAATATAATAATATACCATGAAGACATTTTCTAATCAAAAAAAGTTGATGAATAAGAGACAGAAGAAAAATAGAAAATGTTGTTATCAATAAACTTGTGATAAAATATGGGCGATTTCATCACGTTGAATTGATAATAGCTCTTGAAAGAGACAAATTCTTATAAAGGCAAAAATGAAGGACTATAAGTCTTTGAAACGTTCTTTCTATATTTTGAAGATTAAATTTTATTCCTTTTTAGAAAGCTATTATTTTGGTTTGCAACAATTTCATTCAATTCCGCTTATCTAAAAATTAATTTTATGTTTATGTTAAACCAGTTCTTTATAAAGAAATGCCTTCTACATTCTCAGAAAAATTAGAACCAAAGGAAAGGAAGCTAGTCTTTGTCCCAAATTCAAATCATTAAACCCATATTTCTTTGCCACCTGATGATATTTCAAACTTAGATTATTTGATTTATCAGAATGCATAATTTGTAGGCCTATGATATTTGGTTGCAAAGATATAGGGACTAAAAAGTTAAAGTTTGTGGAAAAAGACTTAATACCTTGATAAATGATAAAGGGTTCGTCCTAGAGAACGATTTTTGGACCCCCCGCCCCCTCCCCCTCCCCCCCTTCTATCAATTTTGTACACGACCACTTTTTAACAATTTTTAATTAAATTAGTATTTATTTAGGGTAAGGTTAGGTAAAGACAAAAAATCGTTCTCTAGGAAATTACCATGATAAAACCTTGGGATTAAATGAGTGAATGAAACATTTAATTCACATTATTTTCATAATTATCTTAATTACCCAACCTGAGTTAAATAATTGACTCCCCCTACATTACTCCAAGACCAAGAGGTGGGAGTAGGTTCTCCGCCCAGCAGCTCAGATTTAACCAAGGAGGGGCGTGGCACACCCTTGGGCCATGGTTTGTGACCGAAATTGTAGGATTGTACAACCACTGCACATGAGAGGACTAGAAGAAGGTACAGCTTCATCATGCTACCCTGGTCAATCCGTTCTTTCTCCGGGTACCCCTTAGACCAGGATGGGTTCAGGAGAAAACTAAGACTGGATACAAGATCTGATTTCAAGATCTTACAATCTGGATTCTTCAGCAACACAGACAATAAAGAAAACCAGGGGTTAAAATTTTCTTTTAAATATTTTTTCAAGATTTTGAACTTTTTGAAGACTCTAAAAATTTGAGATAAAAATAATAATTTTAAAAATAGTTTTAGTGATCTGTAGATAATCCTGAACATATGTGAGTGTTTCTTGGAAACAGGGGAATTATGAAATTAACAACATGTACTCTATAGTCTATATATTCTGTATATATTGACTATATATAGATTTATATGTTTGCAACAAGGTGTTTCAGAATAATTCATAGAAAATTCAAATTGTCAACTCTAGATAAGATTCAATTTTACAAATAATTCAGGAATCAACAAGTTCATAATTCATATTTAATAAATAATTGTAAAAAAATTTTAAATAGAAAAATTTATATAGAAAAAAAAATTTGAGCCGTCGGAGAAAAAAACAAAAAGAAAACCCCTGTTTATATATATTATTGTATCCCTATATTAATAATGTAAAATTTTAAATATTAGATAAGAAAAGAAAATGAGTTATATTAATGTACTATTAATCTATTTATTGAATTCAAGAATATAAGCAATGAGAGGTTTTATAGAGAGCATAACATTAGAAAGAATGTATGGCAAGGAAAGTTTATTGCGGTTTATTGCATCAGTGTTTGTTTAGTATCCGAGTAGGTTAAAAGCATTAAATTTTGATAATTTTGATAATTCACATAATAGTTTCCTATGGCCAGAATATTTCATTGATTATTTATGTGAAAGATGGATCCCATGTCAGGCTTTGACATCCGTCTTGTGTTTACATTGCCGCCCAGAGACTGTACACTGCAGTACAAAAGATGTGTACACTTCTGAAATAACTTTCCTTGCATTACATCCTTGAGCATTGCAAGTTAAATGTACAACACTAGTCTTTGCATCCATCTTCAATTTCAACTTTTAATCTACGAGAATCTTCTCTTCGTACAATTTAAAACAATAAAAGTAAAGTTCGCGGATTTAATAATATTTTTTCGCGCATTTTTTTTTAAATCAAAAACTTTTAGACACAATTTTTTGACGTTTATTGGATACAAACGGACAAACAGACAGACAAGCAAAGTATATATATATAGATGCCGAGTCAAGAATAAATTTTCTAGATAAAAATTCATTTTTATTTTAAGGTGGCAGCAAAAAACTGTGAAATAATTGTCATCTTTGTAATTTCTTTTGATAATAGAAGTCTAAAACTAATAATTATCTGAGAAGTTTTAGAGCATATTTTGAAAGAGAAAGTAGTTACAAATTATATAGTGAAAAAAATGCATTTTGAGGAAAAGGATTAAGGTTTTCTAATCCTTATATCTCTGCAACCTGATGTTGTAGACCTTTAATATTTTAAACTCTGAAGTCTCTTAGATCAAATATTTATAGTTTGAATATTTCGAAGGTTTGTACTCAGATAACATTTTATCTATCTATATTTACCTAACCTAGCCCCCTTACCCTTGGGAGGGGGGGAGGGGTCCATAGCTATCATATTTATAAACATTCTATGCCGAAATATTGTTTTCTCTATAAAGTTGTAATTAAAACACTTGAATTGTATATTAACAATATATTTATTTAAAACCAGTTTAAAATCTATGCTCCAATCATATGAGCTCCAAGAGGATAGGAAACATCAAAGAGAACTCCACACTGTCCGCACACGTGCTGTTCATCATTACCGGGTCCACCAGTACATGCTGTTCCATCCATAGGGGTGGAGTTTGTTCCACACTGCATCTCAGCTGTTCTCTTCAGCTTGATGTATCCACCCTCGCCCCAGGATCCTCCCCAGCTGTTTCTCACCAGCCAGTAATCTCCCTCGGCAGCGTCAGTTCCGTATCCAACAAGTTGAACGGCGTGGTTCAGTCCAATGTTATCGTTGAAGTCACATCCGTCAAACACTCCACCGCTGTATCTGCTCCACAGGGAAGCGTCGACGGCGACGGCCAGAGGTCCGACAGTGGCAACATGGTTCATGGTCCATTCGAGGTTGTTGGACATGGTGTCGTATCCAGTGATTCCGACCATGGGGGCAGTGTCCATGATATCGTAGTCACAGCTTCCAGTCTGGGAGGAGGTTCCAGAGGTGTAACTAAACATTATTCAATAAATATTAACAAACTATGATATTTCATATAAATAAAACTAAAACTTACGGATAATCTTCCTCAGTGGAGTGTCCAAACAGTTGAATATAAGTGTATCCAAGCTGAGGGATGGATCCCATACATCCACCGGTTCCACCGCAGGACATAGTGTTGGGAGTACAGGAGGTAACCTGCTGGGAGGAGAGGACGGGTAGTTCACCGGTGGCAATAGCGGCGTAGGACTCAATCATCTCAGTGGTGGCGAAGGCCCAGCAGGATCCACATTGTCCCTGGTTCTTGACGGGGGTGATGGCGCCCTTGTCCCTCCAGTCAACGCTCTCTGGGAGATCCTTGATGGGTTTCATCTTGAGGTCGGAGGTGGAGGCAGGGTGGGGGGAGGGCAGAGATTTATATCCACCAAGATTCTGGGTTTTGAACTCAGCATCAGTAAGATCAGAGAACTGGTTGATTCCTGAAAAGAAAAAGTTATAAAAGGAATTCTTAACAAGTTTGAAAGTATAAGTTTACTGACCCATGGTGTAGGTTCTTCCAGCCTTATTGTGAGCGTTCATCTTGCCAACATTCTCGGCAAAGATGTTAAACCTGTAGGAGTCCTCGCTCTTGGTCTTGTAAACCTTGTTGTGTTCAACCTTAAACTTGGCGAACTGGATTCTCAGACTCTGGTCTGCAGTGAGACCAAGAGCGAATCCAAGGCAGAGGGAGAGAAGAAGAACCTTCATGTTACCACAGGAGTGATAAACTGATATCTTTCATGTTTTTAAATTAAAATTTTACCTTGGAAAACACAAGATAAGAGGAGAATGACGTTGATGAACAGTGGATAAGTACGTAAACATGGACATTGGGAAATGATAACGTGGATTACTCTTAAATAAAACTATGAACCTATCCTAAGATTTTATGTTGATCAGACCTTCGAATATATTCAAGGTTCTCTGATTTGGGACAGATTAAGAGTAGGAAAATTTTAGATTGGAGGGGTTTAAAGGAAATATGTGCGTGCTGGGAATGATTAAAATGAGATTAGTATAAGCTGGAACGGATTCAGAGATGATTTTAGTTGAGACGTAATTGAGTGAAGATTTGTGTGAGCTGAGACTGATTAAGAGGAGACAATAGTGATCTGGGACTGATTAAGAGGAGACAATAGTAATCTGGGACGGATTAAGAGTAGATAAGTATGATCTGGGACAGATTAAGAGGAGATAAGTATGATCTCGGACTGATTAAGAGGAGACAAATGTGATCTGGGACTGATTAAGAGGAGACAAGTGTGATCTGGGACGGATCAAGAGGAGACAAGTGTGATCAGTATGATCTGGGACTGATTAAGAGGAGACAAATGTGATCTGGGACTGATTAAGAGGAGACAAGTGTGATCTGGAACGGATAAAGAGGGACGGATTAAGAGTAGATAAGTATGATCTCGGACAGACTAAGAGGAGATAAGTGTGACTTGGGACTGATTAAGAGGAGATACATATGATCTGGGACGGATTAAGAGGAGATAAATGTGATCTGGGACTGATTAAGAGGAGATACATATGATCTGGGACGGATTAAGAGGAGATAAATGTGATCTTGGATGGATTAAGAGGAGATAAATGTGATCTGGGACTGATTAAGAGGAGACAAGTGTGATCTGGGACGGATTAAGAGTTAACAAGTATGATTTGGGACAGATTAGGAGGAGATAAGTGTGAGCTGGGACGGATTGGTAAGAGATAGTGTAAGCTCAGATGGATAGAGAGATGATTATGTGATCTGGGTCGGATAGAGTGGCGATTAAGTGAGCTGGGACAGATAGAGTGTCGATTAAGTGAGCTGGATCGGATAAAGTGGTAATTATGTGAACTGGGGCTTTAGATTTAGAGCTGAAACAGTTAATAATAATTTATCTTTACTCAAGGTCACAACTCACAATCTTATTTATTAAAAAAACTTTTAAAACATTTGTTTATAAATCGAATGACAAAGAAATTACTATTAGGAAAAGCACAGCTTTTCATAATTTTGCTGTTTCATCTGTTTCAAAAAAAAATCGTGTGTTACAAATGCACTTTGCAAAATGCAGTTTTAGAGAATTGCAATTTTGCTAAATTATCTAAACCAGGAGTAAGGAATTTTCCATACAGCTGTCTCTCAAACCTTTCTTCATTATATTAAAATAATGACCATGAAAAATCATATTAATTGAATAAGTAATCATAATTACAGGGTTACCTACAAGACTTCAGAGACGACTGTATGATTTTTATTCAGTCTTTTTCTAGATTCTTGGTTTATATATTTCACTCTCTTTTGTCAAATCATTTAGCACAAATTTCTATATATAGCATGTAAAGTCCAAAGATCAAATTAAAGCTTCAGTTCGACGGAATTAAGGATTTTAGGTCGTCTTCATGGTCTTATCCTTTGTGGATAACCCTGTACGTACTACTCTCAATTGAAAAAACTGAAAAACCAAAATTACAATACTTATTTATTTTTAGTATTTTCATTAAGTTTCCATAATCGAAGGGACTATTATTAGCGTAATTAGCTTCGAAAAAGTGACTTCCGGATAATGGTGCAGAAACATTTCAGTAAATTATTAGAATTAAACACGTTGCAAACTTGTAAACCGACGATATCTTTCAGATAATTGATCAGATAAAGGTTTAAAGAGTACAGTTGCTAATCGAGCATGCCCCAGGCCAATCTTTATACGGAGGGTCACTCTAAATTACATTAACATTCCCTTTAATGCCCAGTTTATAAACAGGGAAGATGACGAATTTTGATGATTTTCTAGTGGATCAACTCAGTCTTGAATTTTTGATTTCTTGATTTTCCATTTTTCGATTTATTTTCCATTTCTGCCGAGAAAGGAACCAATGGAACATCTGATAAAGTCTCCTCCTAGTCCCTGGTTACTGTTCAGGAACCTTGTCCCCTGGGGCTGATAGATAGAACAGGATTAGTGGATAGAAGAATATTAGTGGATAGAACAGGATTAGTGGATAGAACAGTATTAGTGGATAGAACAGGATTAGTGGATAGAACAGTATTAGTGGATAGAACAGTATTAGAGGATAGAACAGGATTAGTAGATAGAACAGGATTAGAGGATAGAACAGGATTAGACAGGATATTAGTAGATAGAACAGGATTAGAGGATAGAACAGGATTAGTTGATATAACAGGATTAGAGGATAGAACAGGATTAGTAGATAGAACAGGATTAGAGGATAGAACAGGATTAGTGGATAGAACAGTATTAGTGTATAGGACAGTATTAGTGGATAGAACAGTATTAGTGGATAGAACAGTATTAGTGAATAGCATAGGGTTAGTGGATAGAACAAGATTATTGGATAGAACAGGATTAGTAGATAGAACAGGATTAGATAGAATAAGACTAGTGGATAGAATAGGATTAGTGGATAGAATAGGATTAGTGGATAGAACAGGATAAGTGAATAGAACAGTATTAGTGGATAGAACAGTATTAGTGGATAGAACAGTATTAGTGAATGAACAGTATTAGTGGATAGAACAGTATTAGTGAATAGCATAGGGTTAGTGGATAGAACAGGATTATTGGATAGAACAGATTATTGGATAGAACAGGATTAGTGGATAGAACAGGATTATTGGATAGAATAGGATTATTGGGTAGAACAGGATTAGTGGACGGAATAGGATAAGTGGATAGAACTGGATTAGTGGATAGAACAGGATTAGAGGATAGAACAGTATTAGTGGATAGAACAGGAATAGTGGATAGAACAGGATTAAGGAATATGATTTACATTAGGGTAGAGGCTGGGTTTAGGCCTGTGATAAAAAATTCTAAAAATTCTAAATAATTCTCATTAATTTACCGATCTCTTCTTCCTTCCGATATTTAAAGGTCCAATGCACTGAAAAAGAAAGATAATCAAAGAAAGATCAGATTTAAAAAAGCAAGTCTACCCTGACCTAACCTGACATCCGTAGAAGTAATCTCCCTGTGTTCTACCGCGACCTAACCTGACATCCATTAAGTAATCTCCCTGTGTCTACCCTAGCCTAGTCTGAAGTCCGTAGAAGTAATCTCCCTGTCTTCTACCCTAACCTAACCTGACATCCGTAGAAGTAATCTCCCTGTGTTCTACCCTAACCTAACCTGACATCCGTAGAGGTAATCTCCCTGTGTTCTACCCTAACCTAACCTGACGTCCGTAGAAGTAATCTCCCTGTGTTCTACCCCGACCTAACCAGGCATCCGTAGAAGTAATCTCCCTGTGTTCTACCCCGACATAACCTAACATCCGAAGAAGTAATCTCCCTGTGGTCTACCCTAACCTAACCTGACATCCGTAGAAGCAATCTCCCTGTGCTCTATCCTAACATAACCTGACATCCGTAGAATTAATCTCCCTGTATTCTACCCTAACCTAACCTGACATCCGTAGAAGTAATCTCCCTGTGTTCTACCCTAACCTAACCTGACATCCGTAGAAGTAATCTCCCTGTGTTCTACCCTAACCTAACCTGACATCCGTAGAAGTAATCTCCCTGTGGTCTACCCCGACAGTCCCGACCTATCACTGAGTTGACCGCTGCTCCTATAAAGTTGGAAGCTGCTCCGCCAAAATCAAAAAACCGGTTTTCTAAATCAAAATTTCAAAATAATTTTTTAAAATTTACATTTTTGTATCAATACAAGTCTTCACTAATAAAGAGATTTTATTAACTATAAGTTTTGGTAGGTTATTATTGTGTAATTTATGATAAAATAATTTGCAAATTATATATTGTTCTATAAGTGTGTAATGTGTTTAGTGTAAACTGTATGTCCCCTCAAAAATAGAAATATAATGCCCCAAACTCTTTTTCTTATCTAAGCTTAATTTCTGACCCCAAGAAAGCTTTTTGATTAGAACTGGTTTTTGTATTCTTGCAAACGCGATTTTAAGAAATTGCACTTACGTGAAAATACGACTGCTATAAACACTGAGAAGAAGGAGACCAAGATGAGAAGTTTCATTATGATCTATTTAGTTTAATATCTTCCTCCTGTTGGTTCCACTTCTAGGATGGTTCTGAGCTGAGACGTATTTAAGCTCAAGGTATATACTATAGTACTGGAGAAGAGGTGAACCATGATAATCAGTTTTTGGTTCAATTTCGCTGCTTTCAGGTTTCCCAGAAAACGTAGAATTTTCCCGGGTAGTAAAAACTTCTCAAATTGAGAAACACAAAGATTAAAAACATCTAATGTTGTCATAAACCTTTAACATTAAACATTTTAAAGAATTTATCTGAAACTCTTTTTGTGCCTGGATAAAAATATGATTTAATTGCATTTAAAAATCTGGTTTCGAAACATTAAATTATAATTGTACAAACCTGCAGGTATAGTTAGCCGAGTTAGGTAAATTATATTTTAAAGAAACTGCGGTTGTATTTTCAAGTGACCATTCATTTAAAGCAGGCATGTCCGATTCACAACAGTATCTTTTAAATCTTTATCTTATCAATAATGTAGAAGCGCCGATTTTCTTGTTTAAATTATAAAAGTAAAATTATTACTGACAATATCTTCCATTTTTTTTTGAGGCAGAAATCCGCAAGTAACTTTCTCAGTGAAACCACGCACAATAGAAAATAATTGAAAAGAACATTATGGATAAATCGATTGCATTTGTTATCAATAAAGTTTTAAAGGTACCAAGGGGAATCGGACATGCCACTCTATAAATGGAAGGGAAACTTTAAAGTATATCTATAACAGTCTCTTTAAGAACAAAAATTTAGATTAAAAAATAGAACTTTATGCTTGTAGCTAAGCAAGGTAAGACTTAAAAACTTGTTTCAGAACCAAGATAGATTATTAGATTTTAGTCATTTAACATAAATGACTTATTTTTGTTTATTTTCAATTCCTGATATAATAGGATTACAAAGATAACCTTTGTTTAATATTAAGATATCTTAATAATAAGTTAACATTTAATACAGATATTTATATATATATCATACTCTTTTAAAGAGTGATAAAAAAACAATAACAAACAATAAACATGATTAGTTCATTTCAAATTTAAACTTCATTCTTGAATTAAGATCTCCTTGAAAGAACTCTGGTTTCCAAGTCGTCTTCTGTGCGGCCATTTCTTGACTGCGCTTCCTTGCCGCGACCTCTATTTGATATTTAGCCTCGTCGCCTGATAAACCGGAAGGATAACCGGCAAGTGCGCGGGTCACGTGGCGCCATAATCTATATTTGTTATCAAATAATAAAGAAAAAAATAGATATAATTTTCAGGTTTGAAATTACAGTAAGATCCATTAAATCGTGGAATAGGAAGACAACATTTAACAATCTTACAAGTTTTTGATTTTGGACAAAGCTAATGGTTTTACATTCATAAAGTATTAAAGGTTTGATAAAATTGATAAAATTTAGATTTTTTTATTTTAGATTAATGATTAAAGATCTGAGAAATGTTTGCAAAGTCCAGCAAGTCTATCATTTGTTTACTTCATCCACAATAGACTTTATTTCAAAATAAAAAAAGTTAACTTCTAAAAGGGGAATATGAACAAATAATTTTCTTCAGAAGCAAAACTCCGTTAAAATTACTATTGATAATTTTCCTCCTGGACTCGTTCAGTTTCTGGGTTGCAAGAGGAGAAACAACCTTGTTCAGTTCAGGTCCTGTCCAGGACTCCATATTAATCAGAGGTACTGGAGCTGAACCCTTATCCTAAATATATGTTTACTCCATACTAATCAGAGGTACTGGAGCTGAACCCTTATCCTAAACATAAATTTACTCCATACTAATCAGAGGTACTGGAACTGAACTCTTATCCTAAACATATATTTACTCCATACTAATCAGAGGTACTGGAGCTTAACCCTTATCCTAAACATATATTTACTCCATACTAACCAGGGGTACTGGAGCTGAACCCTTATCCTAAATATATATTTACTCCATACTAACTAGGGGTACTGGAACTGAAACAGTATCCTAAACATATATTTACTCCATACCAATCAGAGGTACTGGAGCTGAACCCCTATCCTAAACATATCTTTACTCCATACTAACCAGAGGTATGGAGCTGAACCCTTATCCTAAACATATATTTACTGGACATGTTCTTTTTCCAATCCCTATATCTTTGCAACATGATATTTCAAACTTAGATTAATTGATCTGACAGAATTAAAAGTTTGAAATATCTAAGGTCTACGAGATTGTGTTGCAAGGATTTAGGAATATTAAAATCAGAGTTTGTGGCCAAGACTCAAATCCTTTTCAGAAGTAATGGGTAAAATTCTTATCGATTTTTGTGTGAGAGCTTGCAACTTTTCAATCACTTATTATGACGGATTTAATCACGTATTTTTTATACATTGAAGATTATTAAAAATGAATCTTTTTATTAATTGATTCTCACCTCGTTTAGAATATAGACAACTTGGTTCCAGAGTCCATTGAATTCTATATCTTGATCTAGTCCTCTTGTTCTACCCTTTACTGTTTTAATCTTTATAGGTTTAAAGGGGTTAGGGTTTGAAAAGATGGGTTAGGCTGAATCCTAATCAAATCGGATTTGATTACTTCTACCTACCAGAAACACCTAGCGACAAAATAATAGTCCTTTTAAGTACATCATATGTAAAAAATAACATTAAACAACATTAAAATTACCCTAACATTTTTCGGAATTCATATATTATAATAATAAAAGGATCAGTTTTAAATTTAATTTAATTATTTTACGGTTTGAGTGGAATAATTCAAACAAGTGAATTTACATGGGCTATACGCTCGTGGACATTAAGGGTTTTCAACCATTTTCTCCTTATAGACGCAACAGATAGAAATAGAATTAGTAGTGATCGAACTCGAATTTGATTCGAATTCATCCAAACCTCTCTTTTATGTTTTTCTAACACTTTCTTTAAACATTATCTTAATCATTGTAGGTTTAAACATGGTCCTCATATTTTATATAAAAGAGATCGTAATGATAACACAAAATAGTTTTCTATAATAATGTAAAAAATGAACGCACATATAGATATGGCGAGAAATTAATAATTTTAAAAAACTTTTCAATGTCTGTAGTATCTGTTTTCATGTTTGCATGCAGTTAATATGTTCACAATATATGAATAAAACCAGTTCCTTGAAATTTATCTGTAAATGTTAACTCTGCCGAACACCCAGTTTCTACACAGTTTATTTTAACTGAGCCCTCTAACATCAGCTGGGGAGATCTTAATGAAAAAATGTCTTTTAGTCAATTAATTAATAAAAATACACTTGGAAAAGAATTATATTATTATAGTACAGGGTGTCCCAAAAAACATGGGAATTCAGTGACGAATTCGAGATCGTCTTTGTTATGAATTAGCATTGTAATACCTAATTTCAAAAGCCATAATATTATTATGTCTGCTAGAGTTTATTTTATGAAAAGGGTAAAAGACTGCAAAGATGTGTCTATAATGTCTCCGCAAGATGAACAGAGTGGAGAAGGACAAGTTTACTCTGTTTGTATACTGTAATTTTCTTTTTTTTCTAAGTACAACCGTATGCAGTCAAAACAAAACATAAACAAACAAAATGTGAACATAGCAGACGAAACTCTTACAGATTACAGCTTTCTCAGTAGGTATCACTATACTAAATCAAAGAATTATTTGAAAAGACGATATCGAATTCGTCACTGAATTCCCATGTTTATTGGTACACCCTGTATATTTTAAGTAATTCAAATAAATAAGATCTTTAATGAGCATTCTAGAAAATCAAAGAATTACTAAAAAAATACAAAAGTTAATCAGCTGAATTTTTCTATAAAAATAGAACTTTTTCAAATCCCCCCTATTTTCAGAAGATTAGCTTAAAGAATCAAATCAATTAAATAAAAATTAAAGATTAAATATTGCAGAATATACGTTGCAAAAAATTAAAACCTCAATTCATTCAAATTCTATAATTTGGCATATTAATATCTGACTCTAGGTATACCTAAGAACTGATGAGACAACTGCATTAGGAAAGGTCATGATGTATTCCTCATTGTATTCCAGAACCTTGAAATATTATCATGATGTATTCCTCATTATATTCCAGAACCTTGAAATTTTATCATGATGTATTCCTCAGTATATTCCAGAACCTTGAAATATTATCATGATGTATATTCTTCATCGTATTCCAGAACCTTTAAATATTATCATGATATATTCTTCATAATATTTCAGAACCTAAAAATATTATCATGATATATACTACTTATTATATTGAAGAACCTTGAAATATTATCATGATATACTCTTCATTGTATTCCAGAACTTTGAAATATTATCATGATATATACTACTTATTATATTACAGAACCTTGAAATATTATCATGATATACTCTTAATTATATTCCAGAACCTAGAAATATTATCATGATATACTCTTAATTATATTCCAGAACCTTGAAATATTATCATGATATATACTACTTATTATATTCCAGAACCTAGAAATATTATCATGATATACCCTTAATTATATTACAGAACCTTGAAATATTATCATGATATAATCTTAATTATATTCCAGAACCTAGAAATATTATCATGATATATACTACTTATTATATTCCAGAACCTAGAAATATTATCATGATATACTACTCATTATATTCTAGAACCTAGAAATATTATCATGATATACTCCTCAATGTATTCCAGAACCTTGAAATATTATCATGATATATACTAGTTATTATATTACAGAACCTTGAAATTTTATCATGATAAACTCTTAATTATATTCCAGAACCTAGAAATATTATTGGTAGTTTACAACTCTGTAAGAACTCTGTTAATATTTCTCCTCTCTGGTTAATGATAACTCTGTTAATATTTCTCCTCTCTGGTTAATGATAACTCTGTTAATATTTCGTCTATATGCCTAATAACAACTCCGTAAATATTTACCCTCTGTGAGATATTTACCTTTAAGCTTGCCTCTCCTACATGTTCCACAAGTAGGCTTTCAAGGAAAGGAGGTTTCCATGTTTTCCTTAAACCAGACTGTACAACAATATTATCTAAACTTCAGACTGGAGATCCAGAGGGAACGGATGGTTTTAACTGAAAAAATAAATAAAAGATAAGATGATCTGGAAGACTAAGGGAAAAGGTTTAAGATTAAGTATGATGAGAAAACTGATGGAGAAATTGAGAAGCTTAAGAAAAATAACTATTTAAGGTTTAAGATTAAGTATGATGAGAAAACTGATGACAAAATTGAGAAGTTTAAGAAAATAACTATTTAAGGTTTAAGATTAAGTATGATGAGAAAACTGATGGAGAACTTGAGAAGTTTAAGAAAAATAACTCTTTAAGGTTTAAGATTAAGTATATGAGAAAACTGATGGAGAACTGGAGAAGTTTAAGAAAAATAACTATATAAGGTTTAAGATTAAGTATGATAGCAAACTGATGGAGAACTGGAGAAGTTTAAGAAAATAACTATTTAAGGTTTAAGATTAAGTATGATGAGAAAACTGATGGAGAACTTGAGAAGTTTAAGAAAAATAACTCTTTAAGGTTTAAAGTATGATGAGAAAACTGATGGAGAACTGGAGAGGTTTAAGAAAATAACTATTTAAGGTTTAAGATTAAGTATGATGAGAAAACTGATGAGAGAACTGGAGAAGTTTAAGATTTAAGGTTTAAGAGTCAATGTAAGATATCTGTAAGGTAGTAATCTCTGTTTGAATATCCGACCCTAAGCCCTCAACCGATTTGGCTCAAATTTTGATTGGGTAATGTTCTCAGCTTGGTTTTAAAATTCTGAGCTGAGTTGGTCGACTTTTATATTGAAAACTCCATGGGAAGCGCTGGGTTTCCAAACTAGTTTATAATATTGTTCCTTAGTATGAATAAGACTGGTGTAGGTTACTCTAGTATTGGAGTGCTCTGCATAGGAGGCTGTTACAGGAGGATGATGACTGACAAGATACAGATATTTTAGATTAAGAACAAAACAATAAATGTATTAGAACAATATCAAATAATGTAACAAATGTTTTGAATCAACACTTTTCTGTTGAAAAATTTAATACTGAAACATTTTTGAAGCGTTGCAAAATCCAGGCCTTCAGTTTTACAAATGCATTTTTAAATTCTAAAGCAAGCTTTTTGGATTTAGGTTTTAGGAATTAATCGGCAGAGTTATATTCGATTTTTGCATGAGGGCTTACAACCTTTAGATTACTATGAAATCACCATACATATATAATATATATATATATATATATGTATATATACACACACAACAAAACCTAAAAATGTCGGTAATTAAATTTTACATAGGAAAATCTGATACAGGGTGTCCCACCAAACATGAAAGTTGGTAATTAGTTTTGAATGTCTTCTTCCATATATTGTAAAGGATATTAAAGACTTTTTGCAGTTTATTTCGTTAAAAAACATCTTTTCCTCAAATTTATTAATTTTACTATAATATGATTGCCATTTAACATTTTTATCATTCTCTTTAGTATCAAGCAACTTAACTAATTATGGAAGAAGACATTTAAAACTTTTCACCAACTGTCATGTTTCATGGGACACCCTGTAGTAAACTAAATAAAATTTGCTAAATAAAAACAAATACTGGAAAATTATTTAGCTTAGGTTTAATTTAAAATGTATTAGTTGTTGAACTAAGTTGATTTGTTGGGGGTGTAAAATTGTATATTTTGGAAATATTTTAGAAAAATTTGAAATTTAAGAATGTTAGAAAAAAGACTAAATAAATTCTGTTATATGTACAGTCGCATCAGAAGTGTCATCTTTTCTGTTGGTAAATATTTATCATGGACGACATAATAAATTAATAAATAAAATATCTCCAATTAATCATGCCTTAATTGTTCAGCAAAGAACTTGACTTGATCATTCTCCTCGGAACCCTGAACATTAGTGTAATGTGCATTGTAACCTCATAAATAAGGGTGTTCAAGAAGATAACAGATAAGATGAATCATACTGAATTCATGAATTGATTGGTTACATACTACTTTTATTATCATCTAATGTTTATTTCAAGAAAGGAATTGAGTCTTTGCAACAAATCTCAATTTTCTAATACCTATATATCTACAACCAAATTATGTAAACTGTGTAAACTATCTCTTAAATCAGAGAAAGAAGTATTAAGAACTGAGGACTGAGGAAAAGAAAGACCAAAATGTTAATCAAGGAGCTGCATGGTAATTTCCAAAGAGTCCCATTTATAAAATGTGATCTCCAATTCACAACCATACCCTTTAAACTGTAATCTGAGTCAAAATAAGAAAGATATTGTCGTTTTTCTCACTTGAACAGTTCAATTTTAATGATTTTCTAATTGTTTCCGTATAGCATAAATCCACAAGTCTCTTTAGTTAAAAGAGAAAATTGTCATAGTTCCAACCTTCAAGCTAAACAAGCTATTAAGTCTTGATCAGGCAAAGATTTAAGGGGTAAAGGGGTACCGTTGTGTATCGGATCCCACTCTATAAATAGAGATCAATACAATGTTATAAATCTAAACTTTAGATTAGATTATATCCCATGTTTAGTGTTTACATCATGTATCGGCCGGGAACGAGTAAAGTTTCATAGAAAGACATTTATAGATAACAAAATCATAGATAGGACATTTAATAGATAAGACATTTCATAGACAGGACATTTCATAGACAAGACATTTCATAGACAGGACATTTCATAGACAGGACATTTCATAGACAGGACATTTCATAGACAGGACATTTCATAGACAGGACATTTCATAGACAGGACATTTTATAGATTGGAAATTTCATAGACAAGACATTTCATAGATAGGACATTTCATAAAAAAAGAAATTCATAGATAGGACATTTCAAAATAATATGTTATCAGTTTAAAGCAAAAATATAAATAATATGTGAAGTAATAATCAAAGATCGTAGATAGAACAGGGTATGATTTAGCAGATAAAATTACTTGAAAGAAAGAAAAAAAATCTATCTATGAAATTTCTTTCTATTAAATGTCTTCCTATGAAATGACCCAGCTGCACCAAGTTTACCCCATGAATCTGCCAGGAACAAGTAAAGAACTCTCCAAGGATAGGATTGTAAGGTTTACACGGAGAATCTATGGGACGGGTACACTTCAGAGTAGAGATATAAAACCGGAGAACAGCAAGCAACCTCGCAGATCCGTCCTGCTCTATATTATATCTATATATAAATTTGGCTTGTCTGTCTGTTTGTTTGTCTGTTTGTTTGTTTGTTTGTATCCAATAAACGTCAAAACGGCTGAACCGATCGGGCCCAAATTTTTTGTGGGACATCTAGGGACCCCAGGGAAGGTTTATGAAAAATCAAAATTTCAAATATTTGTCTCTGCTCTACAATATTATATATATATTATATCCTCGCAGATCCGTCCTGCTCTACAATATTTTATATATATATTAAATCCTCGCAGATCCGTCCTGCTCTACAATATATTATATATATATTATATCCTCGCAAATCCGTCCTGCACTACAATATTTTATATATATATATATTACATCCTCGCAGATCCGTCCTGCTCTACAATATATTATATATATTATATCCTCGCAAATCCGTCCTGCTCTACAATATATTATATATATTATATCCTCGCAGATCCGTCCTGCTCTACAATATTTTATATATATAATACATATCCTCGCAGATCCGTCCTGCTCTACAATATTTTATATATATAATACATACTCGCAGATCCGTCCTGCTCTATAATATATTATATATATATATTACATCCTCGCAGATCCGTCCTGCTCTACAATATATTATATATATATTTCATGAATCACAACCCACAAACAATAAATTGCATCAAAATACAACAATTTTCAGGTTACTTTTTTATCGCTTAAAGTAAAAAACGGCGGAGCTAAATGAGCCCAATACAAGTGCTAGGTATTGAGTCGTTGCAACAAACTCAAATTTTATAAACCCTATATCATTGCCATTTAACGATTAAGACTTTTGATATTTCAAAGTCTTAATTTGAAATATCAGAATTCATAGTTTGAAATATAAAGGTCTACAGCATTGGGTTGCATAGATAAAGAGATTAGAAAATTAGAGTTTGAGACAAAGACTCAATTTCAATCCTTTTATGGAAATAATTGTCTTGATTTCAAAATGAAAACACTCACCGGAAAATATTCAATAATTGTACCTAGTCCGATAGAGGTAAAATATTTTGTTGCTCCAAACCCATCCGCATAGCTCTCTAGGAGGGATCTACATTCTAGAACACAGGTTGGGAGACGAACTCTGGACGGGTTCATAGTTTTCAGGAGCTGAGCAACCACAGATCCAACCACGCTACTGTTCTTCTCCTTGTTACAGGTGAGAGGGTTGATCTCTGAGTACATGAGATCATAATCAAACTCTAGCATATCCAGGTCCGGAGATATACTCCGGGATAGATGATTCTCCCAGCCTAGCTCCAGGTTGGGAGTTGTATTGGGTAGACACGGAGAAGGCTCGATCTTAGGCATGTCTGAGTTCAAGGATATATCTGGTTTCAACTAAAACAGTTTCAAAATACGATCAGAAACCGATTAAAAAGAAAAATATTAAGATACTAATATCTTCTGTTTCGAATCAAGTCTATTAATTACATAATAGATGATTTTGCATAGCGAGAAACAAGTGTACAGTTTCTGGGGACCTTAAATATTAGGGGAAAAAGTTATCTCTGAAATCTCATTTTCGTTGAGTACAGTGTACAGAGTACATAGTACAAAGTACAGAGTACAGAGTACAGAGTACAGAGTACAGAGTACACAGGTACCCTGTTTACCTGTGAGATGGATTTATTGAGAAGTAGAACAGTTTCATCTCTGTCCTGCTGATGTCGAGTACAGAAGAAGAACTCTTCCTCCTTCTCCTCCCTGACCAGGAACCAGGGACTAGACAACTCAAACCTTAGCGCCGGTCAAGTGATCACGATCTGGACATCGTGTTTAAAGGGTTTCTAGACGTTAATTCATGTTAATTTACAAGGTTTGTCTGATCAAGATTTCATGAGATATTAATCATCTTCTATCTAAAAGTCAATTATTTTCAATTGTGGTTTCTCTATAATAAAGTGTATTGCCTATGTTTTCTTCAAAAACAATATGGATAGGAAATTGTCAAGCCAGAAAAACTACGATATCTTCCACATTTTTGATCAGATACAGGGTGTCCCAAGAAACATGACAGTTGGTGAATAGTTTGAATGTCTTCTTCCATTATTTGTTAGGTTGTTTGATACCAAAGAAAATAATAAAAATATTATTTGGGAGTCATGTTATAGTAAAATTGATTTCAAAGTAAAATATATTCAAGCAAAAGATTTTTTAACGAAATAAACTGCCTATAATATCTAATACAGTATTGTTGACTTTAAAAGTCACTATAGTAAAATAAAGAGATCTAAAAATGGATATTTCTAACATTTATTTAAAAACGAAAGTTTTGAAATATTTGCATATAAGACGGAGTTAAAATTGGTTGATTTAGAAATTAACAAAGGAATTAATGATGAATATTTGATGGCACTTCGCGGCTTGTCATGCTGGCTATGAGCGATTATGTTGTCTCTGGAATGCATGATGAACTGGGAACCCTCGGGTATAAGCACGCCTGCTGCTAGCTGAGTATCTGCGTCATCATCATGAAGGAGTCAAGAGGCTCCCTGTGTCGGAGCTGTTACTAGCTCAACTCTCCTAACCTGACTGAGGACTGGGATGTGTAGAGGGGTGAGGGGGGAACAAAGGAGCGAGGGTTATATGTGGGCGCTTCATGTCGGAAATAGATACACACGTCTTGAAAATAGTCATCAGCATTTGAGTCGGTAAAATCGTCTTCCTTATATTTCGAATTTGTGTTAACAAGTATATGGAAGATGACATCAACTGTCATGTTTTGTGGGCCACCCTGTATATAGATTTTAAGGATAACGCTGAAATTGATCATGAACCTCTTTAAATGGAATCTCAAAAGAAATTACACCGCCCCAGTCTCTTTAAGATTACATATATGTCTAAGTCTATATATAGCACACGTTAATAAAATAATTAAAGAGTGCTAAGCACAACGTTTTCGGCGTCCATTTTTATTGTCCTAACCACAGAGCTTCTGGTGTTCTCTCTAAAACTAACTGATCACGTGACCTGACATCATCAGGGTTGGGTGTTCTCTAGTCCCCCCTGGTGATAATAGTAAATAAGGTTTCCTCATCAAGAGAACAACAATCATCAAACCCTCGTTCCGTTCCTCCCTATACAACACAACAAGGAAATATAACACAACACAACAAGGAAATATTATACAACACAACAAGGAAATATTATACAACACAACAAAGAAATATTATACAACACAACAAGGAAATATTATACAACACAACAAAGAAATATTATACAACAAAACAAGGAAAGATTATACAACACAACAAGGAAATATTATACAACAAAACAAGGAATTATTATACAACGCAACAAGGAAATATTATACAACACAACAAGGAAATATTATACAACACAACAAGGAAATATTATACAACACAACAAGGAAATATTATACAATTATACAACACAACAAGGAAATATTATACAACAAAACAAGGAATTATTATACAACGCAACAAGGAAATATTATACAACACAACAAGGAAATATAACACAACACAACAAGGAAATATTATACAACATAACAAGGAAATATTATACAACACGACAAGGAAATATTATACAACACAACAAGGAAAGGTTAGTCCTAAACTATGAAAAGGGAAAGGTTAGTCCTAAACTATGAAAAGGGAAAAGGTTAGTCCTAAATTATGAAAAGGGAAAGGTTAGTCCTAAACTATAAAAAGGGAAAAGTTAGTCCTAAACTATGAAAAGGGAAAGGTTAGTCCTAAACTATAAAAATGGAAAGGTCAGTCCTAAACTATGAAAAGGGAAAGGTTAGTCCTAAACTATGAAAAGGGAAAGGTTAGTCCTAAACTATAAAAAGGGAAAAGTTAGTCCTAAACTATGAAAAGGGTAAGGTTAGTCCTAAACTATAAAAATGGAAAGGTCAGTCCTAAACTATGAAAAGGGAAAGGTTAGTCCTAAACTATGAAAAGGGAAAAGCTTTAGTCCTAAACTATGAAAAGGGAAAGGTTAGTCCTAAACTATGAAAAGGGAAAGGTTAGTCCTAAACTATGAAAAGGGAAAGGTTAGTCCTAAACAATGAAAAGGAAAAGCTTAGTCCTAAACTATGAAAAGGGAAAAGCTTTAGTCCTAAACTATGAAAAGGAAAAGGTTAGTCCTAAACTATAAAAAAAGGGAAAGGTTAGTCCTAAACAATGAAAAGGAAAAGCTTAGTCCTAAACTATGAAAAGGGAAAAGCTTTAGTCCTAAACTATGAAAAGGAAAAGGTTAGTCCTAAACTATAAAAAAGGGAAAAGCTTTAGTCCTAAACAATGGAAAAATCCATTAGAAATAATAAAAGTCAAACTGAAACGACCGAAGGTAAAATTTTTCTAAAACAAAATTAAAACCATCTACATACTAGAATACATTACATGCAAGCTAAAAAGACTATATACGTTTATACTTTTAATACAAAATAATCAATTCTAATACCTTTAGTAAGAATAGGTTCTGTGTTATAAGTTTATAGTTAGAATAGGTTTTACCTTCTTGCAAACTGTTCTGTAAAGGTTTATAGTTAGAATAGGTTTAATACCTTCTTACAAACTTCTCCGAGTAGGTTTAAAGTTAGAATAGGTTTAATACCTATTTAAAAACTTCTCCGAGTAGGTTTAAAGTTAGAATAGGTTTAATACCTTTTTAAAAACTGCTCCGAGTAGGTTTATAGTTAGGTTAGGTTTAATATACCTTCTTACAAACTGCTCCAAATAGGTTTATAGTTAGAATAGGTTTAATCTCCTGTAGAAGAGGACTGTCTTTCTCCTTGTACACGTTCACGAGGTTCTCCTCCTCACTCAACAGAAAAACAACGTAAATATTTGATATTTGTATCCTTCAGGATTAGGTGTCTTATTAATCTCAACAACTTTGAATTGGTAATATTGGATTTTTTTTTATCATTTTTGATAGTAACATTTGCGGATTTTCTTGGTAGATACAAAATAAATTGTTAATTTTTATGTATTAATACCTTTTAACAGATAGAAAAATAGGAGAAATTGTGCTTGGATGGATTGAGAGAAAATGAAAAATAAACTGGGAAGGTTTGAGAGGATAGGAGATATGAGGCGGGTGGAGATAATATGAGAAACTGAGCTAGGTTGGGTTGAGAGAAAAAGGAGAAACTGAGATGGGACGGGTTAAGAGAATAGGAGAAACTAAGCTATGACGGGTTCAGAGAATAGGAGAAACTGAGCTGGGGCAGGTTGAGAGTATAGGAGAAACTGAGCTGGGACGAGTTGAGAGAATATGAGAAACTGGGACTAGTTGAGAGAATATGAGAAACTGAGATGGGACGGGTTAAGAGAATAGGAGAAACTGAGCTAGGACGGGTTAAGAGAATAGGAGAAAATGAACTGGGACGGGTTGAGAGAAACGGAGAAAACTGAACTGAGACGGGTTAAGAGAAAATGAGAAACTGAGCTGGGACGGGTTGAGAGAATATGAGAAGCTGGGACTAGTTGAGAGAATAGGAGAAACTGAGATGGGACGGGTTGAGAGAATAGGAGAAACTGAGCTGGGACGAGTTGAGAGAATATGAGAAACTGGGACTAGTTGAGAGAATAGGAGAAACTGAGATGGGACGGGTTAAGAGAATAGGAGAAACTGAGCTGGGACGGGTTAAAAGAATAGAAGAAACTGAGATGGGACGGGTTGAGAGAAACGGAGAAAACTGAACTGGGACGGGTTAAGAGAAAATTAGAATCTGAGCTAGGACTGATTGAGAGAATATGAAAAGCTGGGACTAGTTGAGAGAATAGGAGAAACTAAGCTTGGAAGGGTTAATAGAATAGCGGAAACAGGGACGGGTTGAGAGAATAGGAGAAACTGAGCTGGGACGGGTTGAGAGAATATGAGAAACTGGGACGGGTTAAGAGAATGGGAGAAACTGAGCTGGGACGGATTAAGAGAAAAGGAGAAACTGATATGGGACGGGTCAAGAGAATAGGAGAAACTGAGCTAGGACGGGTTAAGAGAATATGAGAAACTGGGACGGGTTAAGAGAATAGGAGAAACTGAGCTGGGACGGATTAAGAGAATAGGAGAAACTGAGATGGTACGGGTTAAGAGAATAGGAGAAACTGAGCTGGGACGGATTAAGAGAATAGGAGAAACTGAGATGGTACGGGTTAGGAGAATAGGAGAAACTGAGCTGGGGCGGATTAAGAGAATAGGAGAAACTGAGATGGGACGGGTTAAGAGAATAGGAGAAACTGAGCTGGGACGGGTTGAGAGAAACGGAGAAAAATGAACTGGGACGGATTAAGAGAAAATGAGAAACCGAGCTGGGACGGGTTGAGAGAATAGGAGAAACTGAACTGGGACGGGTTGAGAGAAACGGAGAAAACTGAACTGGGACGGGTTAAGAGAAAATGAGAATCTGAGCTAGGACGGATTGAGAGAATATGAAAAGCTGGGACTAGTTGAGAGAATATGAGAAACTGAGATGGGACGGGTTAAGAGAATAGGAGAAACTGAGCTAGGGCGGGTTAACAGAATATGGGAAACTGGGACGGGTTAAGAGAATAGGAGAAACTGAGCTGGAACGGATTAATTGAGAATAGGAGAGACTGAGATGGTACGGGTTAAGAGAATAGGAGAAACTGAGCTGGGACGGATTAAGAGAAAAGGAGAAACTGAGATGAAAGTGGAACGAGTAAAGAGAATAGGAGGAACTGAGTTGGGACGGGTTGAGAGAAAAGGAGAAACTGAACTGGGATGGGTTAAAGAACAGGAGAAACTGTGCTGGGACGGATTGAGAGAATAGAAAAACTAAGCTTGGAAGGGTTGATGGAATAGCGGAAACTGGGACGGGTTGAGAGATTATGAGAAACTGACTTGGGAGGGATTGAGAGCGAATAGAAGAAATTAATGAATCGCGTTTTATTATAAGAAATCTACCTTATTCGAAGCACGATAGGCTCCCAACGTTTTAAATCCATACAGAATATTTTCCAGGGCATTAGAATCCAAGTTCGAGACCCAGAAGACATTTTTTTCTGAGAATTATTTTTTCAAGAACAATTTATCCATCGTAAACATTTGGAAGACGATATTTGTTCCCGACTCCTTCAATTCCTGAATACTTTAGACGGATTCCACACAGAATTAAAGATTTGATAATTAATATAAAATGCAAAAAAAAACTATGCTTATTTTGAATTTAAGAATTCTAAACAACTGAACTCACACATTCAAGAATTTATGAATTTCCGACAGTTTTGTAAAAACCGCGGATTTTCTTGTTTTAAAAATATTTGCGGCATTTTCCGTCTCTGATTTCTGACAGAGTTTAATGGCGCCCTGCGTCTGTCTAGCTACAAGTATACAGCGGAATGTAATTACTGTTTAGAGGTCTACAAGAGGTTGGCAGTTAAGGGAGAGAGTGGATTGAGGGTAACAAAGGGCCGGCGGATTCAGCAGAAGAAGGTTGAGGATAATCCTCTAAGGTTTAGCCGTTAGCGGAAAATGTCAGGATCAGAGAGCGGTAGTGAAGAAATACCACACGGAACTCAGGTTAGTTCAGTGAGTAGAGGAATAGGTCGGTCTAATAATTTCTTGAGATTTAAGGGATTGAAGGTGTGATTTCAAGTGTACTTACTGTTTAGAGTGGCATGTTTGATTCACAATGGTAATGTTCGGGGTTTGTCCTAAAGATTTTTGGACCACCCCCCCTCCCTTCCACCCCCCTACTCTCTTTTGTAAATGACCATTTTTTTCAGCAAAATAATTATTATTTATTGTTTTAGGGTTAGATTAGGTTAAGACAATTTCTGGGTCGAGCGCCGCGGCTAGGACAGGCAAGGGGGCCTAGCTCCGCTTCTAGGACATGTCCACGATTCCTTTGATAAATGATTTTTGGTTCGGAACGGGTTTTCTTAAATTATATTTTTTTTCCTTTAATATTCCGACTATCACCCCCTCCCTCCTCTCTCATGATAAGTTCTGCGCGGCGCGACGCTTTAAAATTTAATACTATAGAAATTTAAATATTTAAATATAGGGTAGTTTTATTTTCACATAAATCATTAAATCATTCCCACCCTTCCCCCTCTTTTGACGATCTTGGTTCTGGAGAGTAAAAGGTTCTACTTGGACGTGAAGGAGAACCAGAGAGGAAGGTTTATCAAGATTGCAGAAATCAGCGCGGACGGACGGAAAAATCAGATTCTGATGACTTTCTCGACCGCCGCTGTGTTCAATCAGAACCTGTTGGAGTTCATTGATTTCTACCAGGATCTTCATAAACTGAATCCAGACCAACTTGTTCAGGTTTAACAACTTCAATTTATTCTAAACTGTTTGTGTTAAATTTTAATCAAATTTTGATCCGGGGAAGAACCCAGTGATTAAGATCCAGATCTTTTGAATCTACAACATTTTGGTTTTCTGGTCCATAAAGATCCAAGGGACGAAATATCGACCATAAACTGTGATTATTGATTCGCTCTCAGACCCCGAATAATTGAGATTGTCTTATCTCTCAATTGTCCGCATCCGAATTCATTTTTATCAGGGCGGATCAAGAATCCGGATCAAAGTGAAATGGATCCAAAGCACTGGACGAAACTTATACTTAAGAATGTGGATGTAAATATTTGCGAAAGGATGCCAGTTTCAATAACATAAGTGAGATTTATTTAAAAGGATTTGAGTCTTTGCCAAAAACTTAAATTTTCTAATCCCTATATTTTTTCAGTTCCTAGTGTTGGCAGACCTTTGATATTTCAAACTTAAATTGTTTTATTCAACAAAATTCATAGTTTGAAATATCTAAGGTCTACAACATTGTGTTTCAAAGATGAAGGAATTAGAAAATCAGGGGTTGTGGCAAAGACTCGATTTCTTTCACCCCAAACAACTAAAAGATTGACTACAAATCTTATTTTCATGTATTAAAGAGAATTTGTCAAAATCATTAAAAAAAATGAAAAATTTTACAGAGTTGAAATCTTAAATATAAACAGGTGTAGGGTGAGCTGAAATATTAAATATAAACTGTGTAGGGTGAGCTGAAATATTAGATAAAAACTGTGTAGGGTGAGCTGAAATCTGAGGTGATGTACAAAGATGACAAGAAGTATCATATGGATCTGAAGGAGAATGCTAGAGGACGATTCCTCAAGGTTTCGGAAACCTTTACCCGAGGATACTCCAGGTTTCAGGTAATAAACCTTTACTCCAGGGTACTCCAGGTTTCAGGTAATAAACCTTTACACGAGGATACTCCAGGTTTCAGGAAGTAAACCTTTACTCCATGTTTCAGGCAAAAAACCTCTACTCTAGGGTACTCCAGGTTTCAGATAATAAACCTTTACTCCTTGGTCTCCAGGTTTCAGGTAATAAACAATTACTCCTGGTTTCAGGTAATAAACCTTTACTCCAGGGTACTCCAGGTTTCAGGTAATAAACCTTTACACGAGGATACTTCAGGTTTCAGGTAATGTCAAAAAGAAGGTTTCTGTCCACATGAAAGAAAGGTTGTGTGAAAAAGATCTAAGATCTTTAATTGTTATTCCACAGTACCACAACTTAAAACATTGAAAAGATGATAAAACTACAATTTCGTCTATTTTCGTAAATCTAAGAATTAAGTTTTTTTTTTCGTAAAAGAAAAGATTGGTTTCTGTTTCAGGTTTTTATCCCGGCTGATGGGATGGTGGAGTTTCAGCATAATCTTGGAGAACTCATTGATCAATATGATAACGGTAAATCAATTACTGATGATCGAATGAATTGATTGATTTTGATTGATTGAGTGACCTATTTTTTTAATGATTGTGATTGATTTATTGTGATTGATTTTAATTAATTGTAATTGATTATTTAAATGAATCTATTTTGATTGATTGATTGAATTAATTGTAATTGATTTTAATTGATTGATTGGTTGAATTAATTAATTGTGATTGATTCTAATTAATTGATTGGTTTGAATTAATTCATTGTGATTGATTTTTAAATTAGTTTGATTGATTGATTTAATTAAATTGATTGTGATTGATTTTAATTGAATGGGATTGAATTAATTGATATTTTAATTAATTTTGATTAATTGATAGTGATTGATTGATTGCGACATATTTTAATTATTGATTGATTGAATTGATTAATTTTGATTGAGTGATTTAACGAATTGATTGTGATTGATTGAATGAATTAATTGTGATTGATTTTAATTAATTGATTGGTTGATGTAATTGATTTTTAAATTAATTTGATTAATTGATTTAATTGAATTGATTGTGATTGATTTTAATTGTATGTGATTGATTTCATTGATTGTAATTAATTTTAATCAAATTTGATTATTTGATTTTTTGTGTAAGATTTTAATTATTGATTGAATGAATTGATTATTTTGATTGATTGATTGAATTGATTGTGATTGTTTTTAATTGATTGATTGGTGGCTTTAATTGATTGTGATTGAAGGATGTAATTTAATTGATATTGATTTAATTGATTGTGATTAATTGATAGTGATTTATTGATTGATTTATTGATTGATTGATTGATTGATTGATTGATTGATTGATTGATTGATTGAGTGCCTAGGGGACGCCGAGGAAGCGTTGAACGGTCCGCAGAACAAGCATCTAAGAATTGAAAACAAGAACTTCTATTTTGACGTGAAGAGAAATCAGCAGGGGAGATACATGTCCATCTCAGAGGTAGGTTTATATTATGAAATCAGCAGGGGAGATACATGTCCATCTCAGAGGTAGGTTTATATTATGAAATCAGCAGGGGAGATACATGTCCATCTCAGAGGTAGGTTTATATTATGAAATCAGCAGGGGAGATACATGTCCATCTCAGAGGTAGGTTTATATTATGAAATCAGCAGGGGAGATACATGTCCATCTCAGAGGTAGGTTTATATTATGAAAAATATCATTCTCCAACCCTTAAAAAATTATCCCCCCCCCCTTTTTTGTTCCCAATTCTAATTTTTTACATATGGTCCCCAATTCATCAACAATCATTCCCCCACCCCAGGGTTTAATTCTTAAAAAATATACACCCCCTGCATCCCCCCTTTTGAAAATCATATGTTTCCCAAACACTTTCTTATGTTTTATTCGATGAATTAGAGAAAATAAGAGTTCGAGTAAACTTAAAAAAGGATTAAAAACTTGCCTTGTGATGTTAAATATTTCTTAAATCTTGAAATTATGAAATGAAACACCCCGGATGGATTTTTAATGGAAGGGGAGGTGTGGGGAATGTTTTTTATTTATAAACTTATATTTATTGAGGTGAAGGGAACGTATCGGAACTCCATCCTTATCCCTGAGTCTGGTTGGGAGAACTTCAGAAATCTTCTTGATGAATATGTCAAGCAGTCAAAGGATGCTTGATTTACTTCTTGTCAAGCCGAGTAGTGTAGGCTTGATTCTTCCCCGTGTTAAATAGCTTTAGGTTATTTTTTCATCACATTGTCAAGTTATCTGAAGATACTTCTTGATTCATATAGTGTCAAGTACTCATATTGTAAAGATTTTTCTTAATTTATACTTAATGATGCTTGACAGTGTTAAGTACACACGTGTTAAGCTATCTTAAGGATGCTTGATTAAGATAGTGTCGAGCAGTCTCAATTACTTGATTTTTCTTCGTGTCAAGCTATGCTAAGAATGCTTGATTAAGATAGTGTCAAGCAGTCTCAATTACTTGATTTATCTTCGTGTCAAGCTATGCTGAGAATGCATGATTAAGATAGTGTCGAGTAGTCTCACTATCTCCGTGTGTCAAGCTATCTTATGAATGATTGATTCAGACAATTGAATATCTTCAGTCAATCAGTTTTAAAATGCTTGAATTGTCTCTATATCATCAAGTTTTCTTGAAGATTCTTGATTCCGACAGTGTCAAGAAGTTGCATGATACTTGAGTTGTGAATATCAAGGAGTATAGATGCTTGACATCTAAACATTTTAATGACAACGTTGTTTTTTCTCAATCATGCAGTTGGTTTGAACTCACGACCTTTTTTCTTGCACTCTCAATATCCAAAAAAAGCAAGGGTACGGATTTTAAAAGAAAATTAGATACTTTTGAGCATTAATCATCCAGATTAGGATATAAATTTGGATTCAAAACAGACTTCAGCAAGTACAAAATCTTGCATCTTTATTTTAAAAAATAAATTCTAAGAAGCAAATGAGTTATATCCCCCCCTCTTCCTCCGCCTCCGGTTCGATTAACTATTTTAACTCCAATTTTAAAAATTATTTGTACAAATACGGGTTGTGAATTTACAAAACGTATTTTTTCAAATTTCTAATTAAATTTTATTTGAAAATGCAAATATACTGCATGATTTTGAAAGGTGGGGATAGATGTTTCTAAAATAAAATAAAAAATTGTGACGTCTCCCATTTAATCCCATAAAATCACCCGATATCAGTATTTACCTTAAACTAAATTTCAAACACTCCTTACTGATTCACTGTGTAATGTTTTGGGATATTGAACAATCTTCCAAAATGTTACGTTTGAGTGAGGTGGTTTTTTTTCGCACTTTCGATTGTTTGTTTACTATTGTACCAGTGTAATTATTTTATTGTATTTCTCCGGGGACACGTATTTATCAATGTCTAATATACAAACGTAGAAAATATTCACATTTAAGATTTAATATTCTTCCTTCACACCCTTCACGCTCTTTTTGGACGGTGTTTCTCTTTATGTAATAGTCGACCAGTGTTATTAGGACACGACACGTCCATGTTTATCTTGACTCGGTGATGGAACGGAAAAATATTTCCCGCATTTTTCAATATTTCGCGCAATTTATTGTTTTTGTTTTTAATACATTGGCGACCTGATCTGTTTTTTTTTCCCGGGGCAAGTGTTGCCTTCCTTATTTATATATTGAAATAATTTGATAAAAAAAAAATATATTTTATTTATAGAAATTAGTTGCTCACAGATAAATTATGAAAGTATGAATCAATATCTCGGATGTTAAAAATCTCTATGGAAAATTTGTTATATTTTTGTTGCCACTATTGGTTGTAATTTTCATCACAAATAAATATAGTTTCAACTTTGTTGTCCTTATGACCTGGCGCTACCCAGTAGCGTTAATATAGATATTATAGAAGTAATAAATAACGTTTTTAAAGAAAATATTTTAACTTTAAATAGTTATGCATTAAAGCAGTTTTTTCTTAAAAAACTATGATTTTTAAAGGGGGTTCAGCCTCCTCTGGAATGTAAAGAACGCCCCCTCCATGACAAATTACTGCATAGGCCCCTGTCGTAAAAGATCACTGCATTTAGATGTATTTTGTCTCACAACCAAAGACAGTTTCATATCTTTTAAGCAGTGTTTAGGATCCGGATCCGCAACATTTGGTTTAATGAATCTGGATCCGAATCTAAGGGGTAAAATATCATTTTAAAATTGTGGAAAAAAGTTATACTCCTAAAAATCAAAACCAAACCGTTAAAAAAGAGAGATTTTCAAAACTTTTCTTATCGCTGAATGGTTCATATTAAAATAAGCGAAAAAAAGATGAAAATTAATTTGAACATTTTTCTTATGTTAAGAAATCAGAATATCTTAAAGAAGATAGCATGACCTGGATCCGGATCCATTTTTTCCAGTGCGGATCCTCATAAAAATGAAATGGATTCTAAGCACTGCTTCTAAGAGTTTATTTGCATTCCTCCCTCAAATTCGCATCTAAACTTTTTCTTCGGAATACATTAATATGCAGTTAACTGATTTTTCATTTCAATTTTCAGAAAATGACAGGAAAGTTTTTGCAATTCCATTTTTAATAAATCGCAGGAATCAAATGCATTTTCAGGTCTAAAGTCTAACGTAATGTGTACGTAGTTTCAAACTGAGGGCTTATTCTATTTTTCTGCGATATTAAACCTAACAGAAGCTCGTTCCTTAGTTTTTTTCTTAAAAATTGACTTAATCGTAAAGTTACCTACGAGTTATTAATGAAAATTGAGATTATAACTCCTTTATATACTTTCTTGTCTGTTTGCTTTTATCCAGTAAACGCTAAAACGGCTGAACCGATCGGGACCAAATTTTGTGTGGGACATCACGTGACCCCAGGGAAGGTTTATGGTTGATCAAAATTTCAGAAATTTACCTCGAAACAAAATGAGATTTAAATAAAATTTAAAAAATCCACGAATTGTTATATTCCGGAGAAAAGTTTGAATGTTTTGACGGGTCCATATTCAACACTTAAGTTTTTAGTATTCCTCTACTCGATTTCAGCTACTTTACTATACACTGGACTAAGATGTGTTCGGTTTCTTCTATTCTATTTCAATCGCGTTTTGGTTTATAATTCAGCAATCTTAAAACTTACACATCCACCCTCAATGTCTAAGTAATGGAATTGAATCTTTGTCACAAGCTATGATTTTCTAATCTCTATATCTTTGTAATCCAATGCCGTAGACCATAGATATTTCAAACTATGAATTCTGTTAGATGAAAGAATCTTAGTTTGAAATATCAAAGGTCTACACCATCACGTGGAAAGAATATATGGTATTAGAAAATCACAGTTTGTTACAAAGACTCAATCCTTTGTCAATATATATCTTCGCACCTTTCTTCTATTTCAACTTCTAATAGATTCTCAACCTTTTAGCATTTTCTTCTTGATAAAACAAAAATAAATTTGTTTGCGGATTTAATTTTTTTTACGTAAATTCAAAATATTTTAGGAAAATCAAAAAACTTTTGGTTTTAACTTTTTGTAATTCTGAGAATCCATGAACCATCCCTGGGGTCATGTGAGGTCCCACACAAAATTTGGGCCCGATTGGTTCAACTGTTTAAATTGTCTCTTATTAAATATCATTGTGAACACTGCCCAGAGATGTGTTAATGATTCTGAGACAACTTTGGTTTTAAAACATAACAATAACATAGAATCTGAACGAAATTCTTCATAACTCTGGTAATTTTGAAAGCACAAAAGAAGCAGACCACATTTTCTAAATGGCAGGACTGGTATTTTTGTTGATGTAGTAAATATGTTCTTCAGAATTACCTTGTTCAGAATCAAACTGGTAAAATTAGGTTAAAAAATAAAGGTGCAGTCTATTATTGTCAAGAAATTCCGCTTCTTTTTGAATATCACGGTATGTGAAATTGGAACAGAACTAAATAAGGATTAGTCGAGATTTGAAATAAATTTGAAATAAACATCAACGATTACAACTTTCTTAGTTACTCGACTAAATACATTAAAAACTAAAAAAACATAATAAACAAATAATATTTATTTCTACTTAATATTTACAAAATATCTAATATTTGAACTTTATAAAACAACAAGGAGCACTTATGCAATTTTTATAAAATTGTAAATCTATTTAAAAACATATCAAGGTAGATGTTAAACAAATTTATATATAAAAAACAACTTTGAGCAAAACAAATTATTAAAAAGGTTCGGAGATACTATCCGACTTTAGTCAAAATATAATTAAGAGAGAGGTTGGAATATAAAAACATGATAGAGATTTACTTCTCCGGGTTCCAGGCAGGATAGGTAGGATTTACTTCTCCAGGTTCTAGGTGGGATAGGGAGGATTTACTTCTCCGGGTTCTAAATGGGATAGGTAGGATTTACTTCTCCGGGTTCTAGGTAGGATTGGAAGAATTAACTTCTCCGGGATTTAGTTGGGATAGGGAGGATTCACTTCTCCGGGTACTAAGTGGGATTGCGAGGATTTATTATCCGGGTTCTAAGTATAATTAAGAGAGAGGTTGGAATATAAAAACATGATCTTAGAGATTTACTTCTCCGGGTTCTAGGTGGGATAGGGCGGAAGACTCGTCCTGGAAGGGTTGAGGAGGTACTAATGAATATTCGCCTGGCTTCCTCGCCAGCTAAGTGTACCAGCTGGGAAACCTACAGGTCCGTAGGGAGAGTAATGGTGGCCTATACTGCCGTAGAAATCTCCAGGAGGACCTTGAACTCCTGCAGGGGAGTAACCGCCCTACAAAAATTTAAATTAGCTAAATTTTCTACTTACAATACTCAACTGATAAAATATTTTTTCTTCAGAACCTTTAACAAAAGGAATTTACTTTTTATCGTGCAAATACGTCTCTAATATTGATATGAATTTAAAATCTTGAATAAAGTTTAAATCTTCAAGTTCAATCCTTCCAATATTCATGTTTCACAATGCACAGTTCTTGGAACCTGATAATCTGAACCTAGAGTTAAAATATTCTTTTTATTCAGTTCTTCCTGGTCCTACTTCCTAGTTACACTTCCTGGTTCCATGGACTGGACATATATTTCTTAGTTCCTTGGACTTCTGCTTCTTATCTTCTTGGACTTATACGTCTTAGTTCCTCGAGCAAAAAATTCCTAGTTCCTCGGGCAAATATTTCCTAGTTCCTCGGGCAGATACTTCCTAGTTCCTCGGGCAAATACTTCCTAGTTCCTCGGGCAGATACTTCCTAGTTCCTCGGGCAAATACTCCCGAATTCCTCGGGCAAATAATTCCTAGTTTCTGGGGCAAATACTTCTAGTTACTTGGACATATACTTACTAGTTCCTTGGACAAATACTTCCTAGTTCCTCGGGCAAATAATTCCTAGTTTCTGGGGCAAATACTTTTAGTTCCTTTGATATATACTTCCTAGTTCCTTGGACATATATCTCCTAGTTCCTTAGACATACATTTATCTCCTAGTTTCTTGAACAAAAGAATGAGACTAATTGTAAAGTTGTCGGAAAACATGCATGTGAGACATACTTGTAAATATCCTTACAGTCCTTTCTGGTGTCCAATCCTTTGTAAGTACCCGTGTACTGCCGTACATTACATTACAGTGCAGTACAGTAGAGTAAGTTGTACAAGTGTTTGTTTATACCTGAAGAAACCGGTTTAGCTCCTCCTCTGTATCAAAGATCATAACAACAAAGGGAGATCCAGGAACATGCTCTCCACTCCACCGAACCTAGATATTTAGTTTTACAGGAATAATTGAATATACAGGGATACCCATAAAACTGAGACTAAATAAAAACCTGTAACTATACAGACGGTACAAATTCTGTACAGTCGTCTCTAAAGTCTCATCCTTAACCCTGCAGATTAAGTCGCTCTGATTTTGCAAGCACTTTGGTTTAGGTTTAGGTTCAGAGTGTTTACGTTTAAATTGAGGGTGTTGGTTTAGATCTATATTTAGGTTAAGGTTCAAAGTCTTTACGTTTAAATTGAGGGTGTTGGTTTAGATCTAAATTTAGGTTCAGGTTCAAAGTGTTTATGTTTAAATTGAGGGTTGTGTTTAAGGATTTGGTTTAGGTTTAGATTCAGGTGTAAGTTTAGATCTCGGGTCATGGTTTAGGTTTAGGTTTAGCTCTAGGTTTAGGTTCAGGGTTTAAGTTTAAATTTCTAGGTTTAGGTTTAGGTTTAGGTTTAGTGTTTAGGCATAAATTACGATTTTAGGTTTAGTTTACGGTTCAGAGTGCTTCAGTTTAAAATTAGGTTTAGGTTCAGGTTCAGGTTTAGGTTCAGGTTTATGTTCAGGTTTAGGTTTATGTTCAGGTTTATGTTCAGGTTTATGTTCAGGTTTAGGTTCAGGTTTAGGTTCAGATTTGGGTTCAAGTTCAGGGTCAGGTTCAGGTTCAGGTTCAGGTTTAGGTTTAGGTTTACCTCTATCCTATAATCTCCAGGTTCTGTTGGTTCATATTTACAAAGAATAGTTCGATCCTTCTGAGACTCACGCTGCATTTCAACACGGAAAGCTCCTACGAAATGGGGTTGTTCATACGTTTCCAAAAACTTTGCTCTGAATAACAAAAATTCACAGGAGGCCAATAAAACTGTGGAATAGGAAGACGACATTTCAAATATTTTTTATATTAAATGTTGTTATAAAGCAAATAGTTTCACCAGCGGCTTTGAAAATGAATTTATAAAGTAATTAATTAAATTGGGTCCGTGGACACTGCACAATTGTTGTGTTTTATGTTCTATATATAATATCCTGAGTCAGACACCTGTCTTTTAATCCACAGTTTTAAGGGTCCCACTGTATCACAAACATATTTAAAAACAAATTTACCTTTTGGCCCTCTAATCCGTACTGTGAGTTGACCGGCGCCAGCTCCTCGCGTGTCACAAATAAACCGGGATTGATATCTGAACAAAAGCAATTATTTTAAAACTGAATTTTTTCTTATAACCATCATTCATGAATTATCCTATGAATTTGGTTGCTAACTGGTACAGTTCTATATCCTGCAACTATTGATTTTGGTTGCTTAATAGTAGTTCTATAAAAATACCTTGCAAACCTATAAAATCACCAAACAATAGTGATGTAAATATTGAAATTGCCAGTTTTGCATATTTGCAGACAAAAAGATACAAACAAAACTACTAGTAGAGATTTCAAGAAAACCAACCTTGCCAGTACTCCGTGTTCTACTCCGGGTCCGTAGACTCGAACCTTGCCGGGATCAGGTGCAGAGGATACCCGGAGCTGGAACGGAGAACCAGGAACATGGTTTCCTCCATACTGGATATTCAAATTGTGTCGCCCAACCTCCTAAACAGAAATGTTAGAAATATTAGAAAATGAATTTTTGCCAGAAACTCTAATTTCTTTATATTATAGGATCTGTGCACCCAGATGTCGCAGACCTAAGAATTCTGTTAAGCAAATATTCCAAGTTTGAAATATCAAAGGTTTCCGCCATCAGATTGCAAAGATAGAGGGATAAGAAAATTTGAGTTTCTGACAAAAACTCCGTTTTTTTTAGCTATGTTGCACTGGCACAAGAACGCAACGAACGTGAAACAGTGGTTACCGCGCAAAGACCTTAAATGGCTTATTAAATGATTTGGAAAAAGAAAGCAACAAGTTTACGGTTCCAGGCATTCGTGAATATAAGGAAACAAACAGTTTAAATTATGTAAGTTGTCTATGACGTTTCATCCTTTGCGAGAAACCTCTGTCTGTTCCAAGAACCCACTTATTCAGACAGACTACTTATACAGCACTTATGACTGAGATTGCACTAAGAATGAAAAAATACTTTATGGAACTCAATGTGGACGCCCAGACAACAATGTGACAAACATCACGGCTTTATATAATAGTGTACCTGAGGTCTGATGTAGAGAGTAAAGCGTCCGTCTCTATGATCATTTAGTTCTGAGAGAGCTTTCTTTCCGTGAGGACCCTCGCATTTAATCGTCAATTCGTCATGACCAGCGCTCCGGGTGTCTATAGAGCACTTGATCTCTTTTCCTAGAGTTCCAGCCCGCAGTCCGTCTCCACTGCACACAACACGGGATGCGTTAGATGGTGGTTCAACGACCACCTTCAGGGGACATTCCTTTACTAATCTCCCGGCCCAGGTAACATTCAACAAATAGGTTCCGGATCTAAACAATTTTAACATTAACGTAAATTCATGTGACCCCTAATTTATAGAGTGCCATGTTCTTATCCTCAACGCTTTGTCTGCTCCAGAATGAATAAGATATTCCTGTTTATAATTTGAAAAACTGATTATTTTCAATTGTGGTTTCTCTACAAAAGTTACGTGTGCAATTCTACTCCGGAAAACAATGTTCAGTTCTCAGAATTAAACACATTTTAAGCTAGAAAAACGACGGTATCTTTCACATTATTGATCAGATAAATTGTTCAAGGGAACCGTTGTGAATCGGACATGTCCTCTTTTAAAAAAGGAGTAACTTAAATTAACAATGACAGTTCCTGCAAATATGAAAAAATAAAATTTTTAATAAAAATGAGTAAATTTTTCTACCTGACGGGGGTATAGGCGGCTTCCCACACATTATGCGCCACTCTCTTACAGGAAACATGAATAGCGGAGTCAATACCGGAGAGTTTAACGTCAGGTTCCCCCTCCCCTCCCTCGGATCCGTCAATTACAAACACGCTCTCCTCTCCGCAGATTGCGGTCACCAGACCTTTTCCGGTCAGGACCACACGCCCGGTCAATTTTCCACCACGTACCGTTACATGCATCGTTCTTACTGGAACACCGTTCCATTTAGTGTTGAGGTTAAACGTTCCTTCTTTACGCGGAATAAAGACGAATTTAATCCTGCCAGGTCCTGCGTTGTCTAGCCTGTGATCGTATTTTGGTCCTTGGATCTCTATATCCATGCTACCAGGACCAGCCTTACTCACGTCCCATGTGATCAGTTTCTCTTCTCCCACCACCATATCCATCCGTCCTTCTTTGTCCAGTAGATTGGCCCACCCGGAGAGGGGTAGAACCGCACTAGCATCACAGATCCTAGCCTGGAAAGGAGACCCTGGAATCTCAACCTCGTTCCAGAAAATATGTATTCCTGTGTGTCCAACCTCCTCCGGGATATACTTAACAATAAAGAGTCCCGGTTCATCCTTATCCTCCTGGAGAACCGTCCTGCACTTTCCAGTAATCTCAACGCGTGGCTCGCCCTGCATACCACGTCCATCAATCTTGAAGAGACAAACATCCCGAACCTGTCCTAGGGTCAAACCTTTCCCGAATACAGTCGGAGACCGATCCTCCTGGACTATATAGATCAAAGGAGATCCAGGTACAGTTTCTCCGCCGTAGGTCAGCTCCAGCTTGTATCTACCAACTACTCCAGGTGTAAACTCAATCAGGTCTCCTTCTCCTCCAGGTACTCCTTTAACATCGATGGGAAGATCCTGACCCAGAGGAGATACTGCAACCACATTGAGCTCGGCGAACCCAGCATCCTTCCGATCCAGTTGGAACTGAACGGGTTCTCCGACGGTTGCGTTCCTATCCTCAGCTCCGATAATAAGCACCCTGTTGGGATCAAACACCTGGCATACGAAGGGGGACCCAGAGACATGTTCACGGTTGTGAAGAACCTCAATCTTATGAGCTCCAGAGGAGAGAGGTTTAAACTCTACCAACAGGTTCTTATCCTTCTGCTGGTAGCAACGAACTGGAATTGCTTCGTTAGGTGGGATGACGTTACTGGGTCCAGTTACAAATATATCAAAGGCTTGCGCTGTCTGTCCGAGGGTTTCAATGATAAATGAAGTTTGTTTCTCAACCCTAGCTTGGTATAGGCCTAGACCAATAGCAGTAGGCTCCTTACCAGTCACTAAAATAAACAAAATTATCAATTAAACATTGCAACATTTCTGTCGATAAGACAAGTAACCCGTATTTAAAAAGGATCGTAATATAATGATTAAAGTCTGACCAAAAGCACTATTTACTCGCCTAAAACTATAATTTTGTAATCTCTACATCTTTGCAACCTGGTGGTGTACAAGCTATGATTATTTGTGCTAACAGAATTCAGAGTTTGAAATATCAAAGGTCTATGACATTAGAATACAAAAATATAGAAATTAAAAATATATATTTTCATGGAGTAACCAGTTCATTTCTATTTAAGTATGATAAAATCATTGAAATGTAAAAACATAATTCTCTAACCAGTATATTATTAGATTGTAAACGAATAAAATAATTACAAAATTTGAAATTTTAACACTCGGTTGAGTGTAGAGTGTAGAAACGGCCTCAATTAAAAAAGTCTGATTCACAACGGTGCCCCTGAGTAACATATAATGGCGTTTTTCAAAAAAATTAATTCTTCTAATTTTATCCATTGTCTCTCAAGCATAAATGCGCATAACCCACTTAAGTCACTTTTATAAACCCATAACTAAAAATGACCAATTTTCATTTGAACCCAGAAGGAAATCTTAAGAAATATCAGGAAAGAGATCTGAAAGCACCCCCAGCATATATAAAGGTTTAAATGGTATTGTTGTGAATCATACATGCCACTCTATACATGAAGGGTTACTTGAAATTATGTCTATAGTCCCTTTTATACTTTAAAGGAATAGACTAGTTATGATTTGAATCCTAAAATTGCTTAAATGAATTTATATACACTAGAAATTCAAGGCGCTTCGCGCCCTTCTTTCTAGGCTTTTAGGGCGCTTCGCGCCCATCTTCTATTTAAATTGTGAACATGTTCTTTTTGTTTACATTTTAAAACAAAGAAGAAAACATTTTTGCGGATTTAAAAAAAAAATTTTTACAAAGTTCAAAACCTTTAAAACACATTTTTTTTAATTTATATCATTCATAAACCTTCCCTGTGGTCACGTGATGTCCCACAAAAAATTTGGGCCCGATCGGTACAGCCGTTTTGACGTTTATTGGATACAAACAAACAAGCCAAATTTATATATAGATTAACATACCTGGGTTTTTAGCATTTAATACAACCGGAGAATCTGGGACGGATAAACCATTATATTTGATCTCAACCTTGTGGGTTGTAGCTAACTCCGGGTAGTATAGAACCTGATACAGTCCCCTGGAGAGATCTCGAATACTGTGTTTAACCTAGATACAAAAGGATTAGGTTGCCAATAGGATATACAGATAAAACCAGAAAATATGAATATATTAACATTCAATAAATTTAGACGAAATTCTCAACTCGACTTAAGATTTTTAATAAAAAAGCCTCAGGTTTTTTGATTTTTACTAGATTGTATCTTAAAAAATATATTTTTATATTTGAGAATTCGGAATAATAATTAGAACATTTTGTACAGTGATGACCAAAAAGCTGTGGAATTTAGAAATGTTGATGAGGATTTTGTAAGGAACTGAGTTTATGCCACAAACTCCAATTGTCTTATCTCTATATCTTTGTAACATGATGATGTATACTTTTGATATTAATAATATAAGTTGGAAATATCACAGGTTTACACTATCAGGTTGCAAAGATCAGAAAATGATCAGAAAACTTGAGTTTTTGGCAACGACTCAATATGTCTCATGATTTTTAATGAATTTTTTATAAGAGATTATAAGTTTGACATTGACAACTTGTAAAAATTATTAATTTAGAACATTTTGTTTGGTGAAAACAAAGTACAGCGGAATTACGTTTCTAAGGAATTTGTAACTTGCAGCTTAATAATGTCTAAAAATGAGCCTTATGCAATTTTAGAAATATATTACTTAAAACAATTACAGGTTCAAATGGTAAAAGTTCAGTAAAAGAAAGAATGAAAAAGACATATAATTCACAGTTCTATGTTTTTCCTTGTATCTCAGTTAAAACGTTAAAGGGACTGTAAGCGTAATTTCAAATGTGGAAGATATTGATATTGTTTCTCCATTCTCATAAACAAGAAATGCGCAACTCACTCTCTGAAAGCCGCTAATGAAAACGAACAGTTTAAAAAAACAAAAACATTAATATCTAATTCATACTAGATCAGATAAAGCTTTTAATTCTCTTTAAGTATGATGAAATTAGGTTCATAAATGAATGCTGCGTATTGTAAAGACGAGTTGAGCGTCTTAACTTTGAATGGAACTACCTCTTATTTCTTAAACGGAAAATGTTTTACATTTAAATCAAAATACAACAAAAAATTGCTAAAATTTGTAAATAGTTTTGCAATGAATTGTTCTAGAAAACATGCGCTGAATAAAGTGTATTCAAGTAAAATGCAAATATTTGTCAATTCTACTGTATAGGACGAGTAATTACATTCAATTAAAATCATGTTTGGACATATTTTAAAATTTGACATTTTTGTTTTGTTTTATCATGATTTCTTTCCTACTTTATACTCTATCCTGTATAGTTTTTTTCGCATTATTTTTCTCTTCTTAACTTCCTTTTTATCTTGATTCATACTTGTTATGCTTGTCAACTTTCAAACTACTTTTTATCTTGTTCTTTTCCTGTTTCCTGTTCTTTTCCTGTTCTTTCCTTGTTCGTTTTCTATTCTTTTCCTGTTCTTTCCTTGTTCGTTTCCTTCCTGTTCTTTTCCTGTTCTTTTCCTGTTCTTTCCTTGTTCGTTTTCTGCTCTTTTGTCCTTTCTTCTTTTACCCCTTACTTCGTTCTTCTCATTATTTTTGATTATTTTCTTCTCACTCAGTTTCTTTTCCTTTCTTATTAGATTTCCCCACATTTCTCCCTTTCTTTAATTAATTTCTCCCTTCCTTAACTTCTCCTTTTCTCTCTTCATCCTTTCCTTCTCCGTTTTCTTCCTTTCCTTCTCCATCTTCTTCCTTTCTCTTTTTCTTTGTTTTCTTCCTTTCTTTCTTACTCCTTTCCTTCAATATCTTCTCCTTTTTTCTCTTCATCCTTTCCTTCTTCGTTTTCATCCTTTCCTTCTACATTTTCTTCCGTTCTTTCTTCATCCTTTCCTTCTTTATTTTCTTCCTTTATTTTTATCCTTTCTTTCTTCATTTTCTATCGTTCTCTCTTCATCCTTTCCTTCTCAATTTTCTTCATTTCTTTCTTACTCCTTTTCTTCTCCATATTCCTTTGCTCTCTCTTCATCCTTTCCTTCTTTATTTTCTTCCTTTCTTTTTTCTTCCTTTCCTTTTTACTCCTTTCCTTCGTTAATTTTGCCATTACTTTCTCATGATTTTTTAAAAACTTTTAGCCTTTATTTCTATCCTCTTTCTTACATCCCTCCATTCTGCCTTTCTTATTCAGTTTCTCTCTTTTTTACTCATTTTCATCCTGTATTATTACTTTCCTTATTTACTTAATTTACTTTTCTTAAATCTTCTTTTTCTTCTTTCAGACCTTTCTTACTACTATCATTTGTAACCAGTTCTTATCTTAATCAATTAGTCCTTGTCTAATTTTCCTTCTAAATTATCAAACTTACTTCTCCTCTCGTACCTTACTCCTACCTACTCTATTATAGTGAGGTGGGTACTTATGCTGCAGAAACAATAAAGGAAATTAACAGAATTCGAAACTTTTCAAGATATTTTCGTTGTTATTATTTAGTTAGAGGTTTAAAGGGTATCTTTATGGATCCAAAGTTTGGTCCAAAATCCCTTTAAGCCTTTATGTTTACTAACCTCTTGTCCGGAAGTTCTGACGGCTACGGAGAGAGCTCCGTGTCCAGCATTAGAAACATCAACTGTTAAACTACACTCACTACCAATAACAGCTGCCCCAACATCGGTAACTTTAACGCTAGCGGGGTCAAACACTTCAGATTTGAAGGGTGAACCCTGGATGGGTCGATCTCCGATGTTAATAGATATACTATGAGTTCCAAGTTTAGTCGGAGTAAACTCAGCTCTGTAAAGTCCTGGTCTAGTTTCTGTAAGGTAGGAGGAGACACTGAAACTATAAGGATCGGAGATTCTAACTACTGGAGCTGTATCCAACCCACCAGTGTCTATATCAAATATGGTTTTACTATTAAATACTGCTTGCTGGAGACCGTCTCCACGGGCTACGGTTGTACTAGTTTCAGATTTCTTAGGACTTTTCTGTACTGCAGACACCTTCTTGGCTATAATCATACACTGGAACGGATTATTAGGGATTCCTTCATCATTAAAGGTTATATTTACAAAGTGGGGGATAGCCTCTTGAGGAACAAAAGTTACTTCGTAGAGGCCACGGCTTCGGGCAGCGACCTCGGCACGTACAGAGGATTTACCAGTTGTAACAACCAGCTCCAGGGTACCTTCTCCAGCCTGGCTTGCGTCTACTGTAAATGTAACTGGAGTACCGATAGCGTGAGAACCTTCTAATCCTGTGACAATAACACGTCCTACGTCGTAAACATTACAGGTAAAGGGTGAGCCTAGGACTGGGAGACCGTCTAGAACTACATGAACATGATGTGCTCCCACCTCAGCAGGAATATACTCATAGTTAGCATTATTCTTCTCATTGAGCAGGGTTGTAATATGAAGAACATCTCCACCAGGAGAATGCACCTTGATTAGGCAATCTTTACAATTCCCAGCAGTTGATGTGATATTAACCTTGGCTGGAAGTGAGACAGGACACATCTTTACTCCGGGTCCACTCACGACCAGCTGCTGGCTATCTATGATTCTACACTCAAACGGAGAGTTTGGAACAGGTTCATTATTGAATTTTACGCTGAGATAATGGGGAGAATTTTCCTGCGGCTTGAAATTGACCTTGAATTTGGCATTTCCTTCTGATTGGACGTAGTTGGGCACGTTTCTACCGTTGACAGATACAATTATTTCAAGGTTTCCTGCTCCAGCTTGAGATGCGTCTATGGAGAAGTAGACTGGTTTGCCAACGGATCCAGATTGGATATCCGTCACAAGCACCATGGAGGCGTCGTAGGCCTTTACAATGAAGGGTGAGCCCTGAACATGGAGTCCAGCCATTTTAACTTCAACCTGGTGATCTCCAACAGTATCTGGAGAATAATCTACTTCATACTGTCCTTCTCCGATACAACGGATACTACTGGTTACAACATCCTTCAAGGGGGAGAGGATTTTAACCTCTGGATCTCCCATATCTCCCTGACCGGAGATCATGAAGGAGGTTTGTTTACTAACAGGTACTTTCTCCAACCCTTCTCCGGATAGGTTGACCTTCGCTGCATCCACCACCAGGCACTTGAACGGACTTCCGGGAACGCTTTCTCCGTTAAACTTGAGTTCTACAATGTGAGGTTTTGCTTCTTTTGGGTTGAATGAGATAGCATATGTATGATTACCCTGAGCTTGAGCACTGGTTGGAACCTGTCCGTTGTTTACAGTAACCTCCAGGTTTCCAGGTCCAGCATGCGAGGTTTCAACCAGGAAAGTGACAGGTTTCCCCACAATCCCTTTAATACACTCTCGAACCTTGATAGCGGAGACATCATAAACCTTGCAGGCGAAAGGAGAACCTGGAACCTGCTCGTCTCGGAATGAAATATATATTTGATGTTCTCCAGCGATCTTGGGAGAGAACTCGGCTTTGAAGGATCCTGATCCTAGATCTTGAACTGTAGCTGAAACCTCTTCTCCTAGTGGAGAATCTATTTCTATCACAATATCTTCAAGGCTTCCGCTCACGTTAGAGAGAGTAAAGAAACTTGGTTTTCCAACGGCAGTAGCGGCCAGACACTGTCCAGACACAACAATATGGTTCGGATCTGTGTGGATCTTGGCTGTAAACGGAGCCCCAGGGACTGGTTCTTTGTTAAACGTAATATTGATCACATGATCAATAGCTTCCAGAGGGACAAAACTTACCGCAAACCTGGCAGATCCTTGCGGATGAACCTGTGTTGGAATGTTTCTCCCCCGCGCTGAAATTGTAATCTCAAGATTTCCTTCTCCCGCTTTGCTCGCGTCTACTGTAAACTGTAAACTCTTGCCTATGGTTCCCCATGGTACATGAGAAACCAAGACGTTCGAGGAATCGAACGCTTTCCCCACGAACGGAGTTCCTCCCACCGGGATCCCATTGTACTCGACACACACGGTGTAAGGTCCAACTTCTTCCGGTAGAAACTCCGCTGTAAATCCGTTCTTCACGTTTCCGGAAACCTTGACAGGAAGATCTGTCCTGGGACCCTGGACGGAGACAGCCAGCTCCGCGTTGTCTGTAGTATCAACCTGGATATGGAACAGGGCCGCCTCCCCGACAGGCATTAGCTCCAGGTGCTGTAGCTGTACAGTAACCTGACTGGTATCGGAAACACGACAAACAAACGGACAGTCTGGGACTGCTTCTCCGTTAAACCTGATATCAATGGTGTGAGGTTTAGGAGTCTCCGGAGTAAAATGAACCAAACATTTTCCTCCGCCCAGAACCTGAACATGGTTCGGAACTTCTCCGTCATTAATAGATATCTCAAGCTGACCCTCTCCTGCCTGGCTTGCGTCAACCCTAAACTGGCAAGGTTGACCGACAATCCCGCTTCCGACATCGGAAACCTGGATCAAACCAGAGTCGTAGGCCTTGAAGAAGATCGGAGAGTCTGGTATCTTCTGACCCGTGACATAAACGTCCATGATAAAGGATCCGACATCGGTCGGAGTAAATTCAATCTTGAACAGGCCATTTTCTTCAGATAACCTGAAATTAAAAATATTTAGTACCGGGACTACTTTTCAGCAGCTAGTGCAAGCTGTACAGTACACATACAGTCAAGACGGTACAGTACACTAAATGAATCCTCTTCTGTTAGTGACATTTATGTACAACTAGAATCTAAAGAATTTCAGGCTTTGAGAAATTTGATTGGTGAAACTTGAATACGAGACCTTTAAACAATGCATTCTTTAAAATACCTGAGAACTTGATTTATCTATTTGGGCAGAAATAAGCTAACCAATCAAGAACGCAGTTCATTTAGTCCCAAGAAGCTGAATTCCATTTTGTCGAGTTCTTTGAATAGCCAGATGACGAGATTTAAATTGGGTTCAAATTTGGACATTGTGGGCGGGGCGGGCACGCCCAGAAAGGAGTGTTTAAGGGCAGAAGAGGAGTATTTTAAACTATAAAGGTTGTAAAAACTTTTGTAAGCTGAAGATGGACCGGGTTTGAATTGGCAAACGGACAATACAAATGTCTAATTAAGGAATTTATCAAAAAAAAAAATGCTATACGCAAAAATAGGGGAAACTATTTTTCAGTGTTAACATTTAAAAATATTTATAATGCTTAAAAACATGATAAAATTTTTACGGAAACTAGTTCATAAAGCTATAATGCTGTAAAGCTATAATGCTCTCTCAAGTGTAAAAAGAAATTCTAAATAAACTAAGAATTGCGAAATGATAAATTCACAATTCTATGAAATCGTGATTATAAGATTTATTCAAATTTTTTAAGCTAAGCATGACAAATGCGATATAGAAATATAAGTTTATAACATTTCATCATTTACAAGAAATTTATCCTCGAACATGAAAAATGTTAAATTTTTATTTCTACAATTTTATGATATATTCATATTCAATATATACAGATTTCAAAAAAACTGTCAGAGTTACAGAATCAAAAAGATTGTGCGTAAAATATATATTTTTTATTCATGAGTTTTAAAATAATTTAACAAAATAATAAAAAAAGATTACAAATAATAAAGTCTTCTCTAGAGTTTCATCTAAAACATTAATATGCTCATATGTCGGAATTTGATAAATCTTTACATGAAAAAAAAATTAAAACGCACACTCATGAGAACCCACTATAAAAGGTTACGCACAAAAGTGTGACAAACACACATTGCTTACAGAGTTACCCAAGAAGATGAGTCTTCAGCGACGACTGTACGGAATTAACACTACAGCTGTTTCCTTGTATTCATGATTCCCTTCCACTGTAAACTTGTTTTTTTGTTTCAGGTCGTCTGTATACAGTCTTATCCTTTGTGCAGGGTAACCCTGTTTATACACCAAGCTTTATACAATTAATAGTATTCATTAGCATGTCATATGATCAACCAAGATTATAAAATCATGACTTAAATACCATGTTTATTGTGACCTCCTTATATCACAGAGGCAGCCGTAGTACATTTGAATTTCCGAGCCGGGTCAACTTTTCCGGTCCCAGTTTGTACTGTATAGACCCGTCAGTGGGTAAATGAAGCAGACACTTAATAGGACTAGCCGGTGCAACAAGGTTGACGCGGTCAGACTTTTGGTTTTTCTGAAGGGTCAGGGGTGCGTGATCAAGAACGGTGTTTATTCCATTGAAGGATTTATCATATATTTGAAACATTTACAGGGACAGGGTGTCCCACGAAACATGACAGTAGAAGAACAACTTGTAAGTCTGCTAGAAGAGCTAGAAAGCCATTAATATATTGAGTTAATAAACCAGGCCGGGCTAGATGTATTTACTTTCTTCAATTTGAAATTTAATTGCATTTTGTATATAATTCTTAAAACTTGTAGTTTTTTATAAAAGCACATCAACGGAGAAAAAACACATCATTAAAAAAACTGTGAACAGAAAACAGGAACAGGACTCTGTGAATATGTTTGGAATTTTAAGAGAGCAAAAAGACCTTTTGAAATATATACCATCATTAATAAAAGAAACCAAGCGTCAGATGGAAAATTATGATTGAATAATTCAAGAAATTATGTAAAAATGTCTAAATAAAAACAAATCATGTTTGCTTATATTGTACACTAGCTGAAGTGTCCGAACTTGAACTTGAATTGAAGGATAAAGTTTTTATGTATGTTGTATTATGTGAATACATACTTTGGACAAGAATGACATGGTAAGATTTAAAATAAAATAAGCAAACGTTTTTGCGCAATTTCTTTTCTTCATAAAACAATTAAAAGATTATTTTTTAAAAGGATAAACACTAAAATAATTATCTTTTTATCTGTATATCTAAACATTTAATTTGTAATCTCTGTTTGTCTGTCCGATCATAACTAATGAACCCCTTGACCGATTTGCGTCAAATTTTGATTTGGGAACTCAGGAGAGCCACGGAATGTTCGTAGCTTGGTTTTGAGATTCTACGTTGAGAACGTTGAGTGGGTCCACTATTAGAGCGAAAATTTAGTTTAGTTAAGAGATGATCGTCTACAGTGATAACAAGAAAACAATGGAATAGGAAGACGACATTATTGCAATACTTAAGTTTACTTGATGGTGTTACATGGCAAATAGTTTTACTAGACACTTATAAAATCACTTATTTTGTGAAATGGGTCTGTTCACACTGCACAATTGCTGTGTTTAAAGGTCATTGAACTTTTTTAAGATACAACTTGATTCTCAAAGTTGTCAAACTATTCCAGAGTTATCTGGTTATTGCTGTATATTGCGGTATTTCTTCTTAAACCTAATTTTACATGTAGGGAAGAGTCAAGGCATTTTCAAAATGTAGCTCGAAAAAATTTAAAATTTCAGTTACATTTCAATTTATAAAAAACCAAGATTTTTTATTTAAAATATTTCGTCGTTTCGTCAATTAATTATACTAGCTTAGAAACCCAGCTCTGTCTTAAGTTTAAGTTTTGTCTTTAAAAGTTGACTGGTTCTATCTAAAAGTTGACTAGTTCTATCTAAAAGTTGACTGGTTCTATCTAAAAGTTGACTGGTTCTATCTAAAAGTTGACTGGTTCTATCTAAAAGTTGACTGGTTCTATCTAAAAACGTTAAACCAAGCTAAGAATTTTCCGTTTAAAATTTTGGCAAATTTTCTAATACTATTTATATGTTATATGTTATATGTTTTATGTTTTATGTTTTATGTTTTATGTTTTATGTTGAATGTTGAATGTTGAATGTTGAATGTTGAATGTTGAATGTTGAATGTTGAATGTTGAATGTTTAATGTTGAATGTTGAATGTTGAATGTTGAATGTTGAATGTTGAATGTTGAATGTTGAATGTTGAATGTTGAATGTTGAATGTTGAATGTTGAATGTTTATCCACATATTTGATTGAGTCATGTAGCGTGTAGAGAAGCATCTGGAATGGTTAGGATGGGCGGCACAATCTCAAGGTTAAGATTATCATTAAGAATCTTCTCAGACAATACATAAACTTGATAAATATTAGTAATCATAGTAACTAGTATGTCCATGAGTCGGGAGTAAGTGTGGGAATGGATAGTGGTGAATTTATATCAATATTCGTGAGAAACCCTCTAGTGTGTCTCTCTAGTGTTAAGAAACCCTGAGAAAACAAGACAGGACTCTCTCTCTCTCTATGTAAAACTACCTGTACGCTACAGGAACCTTGGCTGGGCTCAAAATATTAATATCAACATCATCTCTCTGAAACCCAACTGCAGAGAGTTCCGCCACTGCAACATTTCCAACTGAGATGTGCTTCACATGGTCCCCGACCAACTGGACGGCCGACCTGTCCAACATGGTTCACTAGTTCAAGGAGCGGTTCACAGACACTCTATCCATCTCCAAGTACAGGTTACAACTGGGCGCGCCACAGGTTGAAGGCTGTGTAGACGCGCACCCGATGGACCCGGCCCGCCACAGGGAGATTCCTACGCTAGCTGGTTGGTTGGTAGTGAATACCTTTACATTTCTCAGATGATTCCACCCTCCTCACTCCCTAGTCTCCAACCCTAGAGATTTAACCAACCCGGAGACGTGTTCATATATACGTATAAATACATCAGGAATTCGGCATTTTAACTGTTCTATCAAAGAAAAAAAGGCACAGAATAAGATATTGATTTACACAGTTGCTCCGTCCCTGGTTGGAGTTAATGAACATATTGCATGCAACCATGCAGTGTTGATACAAGAATTGACCACCTAGAATTTCTTGCTCCAGGCCGACATTTCAAATTTTCAACTTAAACCCAGAGCAAAACAGGCAAAGTGTAGCTAGTGTTAAGTGTGTGGGTTGAACTGAATGTATAATGAATATGTTTATGTGGAGGGGTAATTATTCAAATTATTCTACTGCTATATTTATTAAGATTTAACAGAACAAATTATTAATATATTTAAAAGACTGTAAAATATGCCTGGCGTATCCTTAAGACTGGATAACGGATGAAATGATAAGTTCTTGAGAATATTTTGGTAATTTCCTAGAGAACGATTTTTGGACCCCCCCCCCCTCCTATCAATTTTGTACATGGATCTTAAATGTAAAACATGTGGCCACAGCGCTCGGCCCAGAAAGAGTCTTAATTTAACCTAACCCATGGCCGCAGCGCTCGGCCCCTTAGCCTAGATCCTCTCTCCATCCTATTCTAGTCTTAGATCCTATCCATCCTATTCCAGTATTAGATCCTATCCATCCTATTCCAGTCTTAGATCCTATCCATCCTATTCCAGTCTTAGATCCTCTCCATCCTATTCCAGTCTTAGATCCTCTCCATCCTATTCCGGTCTTAGATCCTCTCCATCCTTTAGCTGTCTTAGATCCTCTCAATCCTATTCCAGTCTTAGATTCTCCATATCCTATTCCAGACTTAGATCCTGTCCATCCTTTTCCAGTCTTAGATCCTCTCCATCCTATTCCAGTCTTAAATCCTCTCCATTCTATTCCATTGTTAGATCCTCTCCATCCTAATCCAGTCTTAGATCCTCTCCATCCTATTCCAGTCTTATATCCTCTCCATCTTATTCCCGTCTTAAATCCTCTCCATCCTATTCCAGTCTTATATCCTCTCCTTCCTATTCCAGTCTTAGATCCTCTCCATCCTATTCCAGTCTTAGATCCTCTCCATCCAATTCCAGTCTTAGATTCTCTTTATCCTATTCCAGTCTTAGATCCTCTCTATCCTATTCCAGTCTTAGATCCTCTCCATCCAATTCCAGTCTTAGATTCTCTCTATCCTATTCCAGTCTTAGATTCTCTCTATCCTATTCCAGTCTTAGATCCTCTCCATCCTATTCCAGTCTTAGATCCTATTCCAGGTTTAAGTTGTCTGAACTATAGCATATTCAGTTTCAACTCATTATCTTAAACCCGTCTTGGAATTTACTCCATTTGCATTTTCTCTTAAAAACATTACTCAAAAAAATTACATTTCGTTGAAACCAACCAAAAATGTGACATTGCACAGTTTGTAGAGATCTCCATGGATAAAAGAAATACGGCAAAATAACTAAGGGTTAGATGAGAATTTGGTCTCCCTGATCTTAAAATTTTAAGAACGAAAGAAAATACATTTAATTCTAAATATTATTGTCATACTTACAAGGAAAACTATGATAAACAAATAACTAGAAATATAGAGGATTTAAACAATTGGATAATTTACAAAGAATAATATTTGGATAGAGTGAGATAATTCCATAAATTCAGAGAAAGGAGAATCCAAGAAGTCCAGGAACGCAAGAACCTGGTAAAACAGGACTCAGTCTTCATCTAATCCACCTCATTATCTGTATTCTCCATTCCAGGACGGAGAAAGCATTCCTTCTTGTGTACTTTCCAGTCAAGCTTCTGACAGCTTGGACTACAGTATCGTCTCAGCTTACCCCTGGTGCATTGCTTGAACTTAAACTCCCAGTCAAGATAAACACAGGAGTTGTGTCCACATTTGATCACAAACTGTTCCTCATCAACTATATTTCTTCTCTCTGGCAGAGGAGTAAACTCCGGGATATTCTCATAGATTCTGTCAACCGTCTTTCCATCCAGGATTTCCTTCAACGCAGAGTACACAGACCCATAGTAGTAAACAATTGGCCAGTATATGGTGAGATCCTTAGCAAGCTGTAGAGGATGTAGATCCATGGGCTGAAGAGCCATGACACGGATAGCAGTTATGATCTCATATTTTCCATAGATCCAGAAGTGATCTTGTTTCTTCAATCCTGACTCCAGGGTAAAGATAATACTGTAGAATTTTGTACGCATACATTCATCTTTACTGAAGAGAAAACTGTTCTCATAAACACTCAGAATCCTTTCCTGAGCCAGCTGAGCACATTGAGTGCAGGTGTTCCCAATATTCGCAACATCATGCTCACAGTAATAAATTGGCTGATTATGGTGCAGTCTCTGAAAATATCCTTGATCATATACAGCCTTAGCATCCATCCTTACTCCAGGATCTATCCTCGCTACAATACTATCCTCCTCATTGTAGAGATCAGCCTTCTGGATAAAGAAAGGGTTCTCCACTGGTCTAAATGAATCCCCCGGGATAGAGTTATTTACAGAGTCACACACTATCCTAGGTTCAGGATTACAATTTTTCAGAGAAGAATAAACCTCTGATATCTTGGGGAAGAATAGCAGTTCCTTGAGAAGACTGTCTGAGGATCTGGAATCATCAAGAAGGTTTAATCTGAACAGAATAACTCCTGTAATCCCGTAAACAGGTACATTTAGTTCTTCTCCTTGTTTATACTCCTCCTTGATATATGATAGTGTAATGCCTAGATCTGGGAAACAATATAAGTAAAGAAAATTCTGAGAACTCTTGAACCTGTTTGAACTCTTCATAAGATAATCTTTCCCTGCCCGTCTCATATCCTCCAGTATAAGTAGTATCCTTCCTATTGAAGCAAATACTTCAACCGAGTTCTCTTCTGCAGCCATGTTGTAGTATTTTATAGCTTTCCTGTGACTAAAAGGTCGGCTCTTCATAAAAGGAGGAAGGAGTGCTAGCTCACATTCATCCCAGTCAAGGACAAACCTGAACTCATAGGTTAAACCTATGATCAGAGCAGCTTTCCAGTCCCCTGCCTCAGCCAGCTTCTTCATATCCTCCCTGGATACTCCTTCTTGAGAACTTATGTACTCTTTAACCATGTTCAGAGTCTCCATGTCATAATAATGTAGGATCTTAGAATAGAATGAGTCTAGAGATGTACAGTTAATCAGTTCATGACTTTCTAGGCAATGTTCATCCTTACATTGATCCCTGCACTGTGTACTACAGTACCAATGAAAACTACAGTTACAAACCAACGCATCCTTGGAGAAACCAATGTCATAGCTGCAGGAGAAGCATTTGGTGTAGCTGATCTTTAGGTTCAAGGTGTAGTTCTTCTCTACTTTGGGGGTAGATACAGACATCTTGGCCAGGTTTCCAGGTAAATCAGAGATATCTCCAGACTTGGATATCTTAGATATGTTCTCAGTCAAACCTAGTAATATTAATATGGTTCAGTTTAAATAAGAGATCTAATAAATCTTTAAAATATTAAAACATTTACCAAAGAGTAAAAATTATCAAATTAAAGGATTTTCTATTTTGATTCAATAAAAAATATAAAAAGTTTTCAAATCTTTATTAGCAAAATTCCAACTGCAATCTACAACCTTCTTAAATCATAAATTTACTTTAAGGATTACAGGGGGGCTTTGTGAAAACAGCTTTAAGCTATATTAGCTCTCCTGCTCCAGTAATTTTACATATTTTTATTGTACTTATGTTTTATTAATATCTGTTATAATTTGGTTTTATCTTATTAATCTATATATGTTAGGTATAGCTGGACCAAACTGCTGAACTGAATAGGCTGAAATTTTTTGAGGAAACTCATGAGTACCCTGGGTGTAACAAAGGCAAAAAATTTTATATTCTTTAATAGAAATTTTTATATTTAGAAACATCAAAAATTTAGTTTTCTTTAAAATACAAGTTTTTAAAAATTCCTCGGGCAACATCTAGCACTTCAGCTAGTTGATTTATATACATAATATAGCTCTTCCTCATCTATATATATTTATATGTTAGGTTTGGCTGGATAAACGGCTGAACCTAATTGGCTGAAATTATTTTTAAGAAACCCATGGGTACCCTTGAGGTAACAACGGCTAAAGAATTCGATTTTCTAAAAAAATCCTAATTTTTAAATATTTGTTTTTAAAATTTTACGGACAACACACGGCACTTTAGATAGTGAAACATAAAAAAGTAATTCAGAGTTTTTCTGATTTAATCTTTACCTCATCAAAAGTACTGAAAAGAAAGGAACTGAGTTTTTGCTACAAACTCAAATTTTGTAATCCCTATTTCTCTGCAGCCTGATATTGTAAATCTATTGATATATATTAAACTAAGATTATTTGATTTAACAGAATTCCTAGTTTGAAATGGCAAAGGTCTACAACATCGGGTTTCAAAGATATTAGAAAATCAGAGTTTGTGACAAAAACACAGTCAAATCCAATATTAAATACATTTCTTTATGGTCTTAAATACATTTCTTTATGGTCTTAAATACATTTCTTTATATTATTTTGATAATTTCGTCAAAAATTCCTAGTATTATTGTTGATCATCAAAGATCTATTCTTTCCAAATGAGTTAAATAGTTTTGAAGACATAAAGGGTAAGTTTGTTTGTTTGAAACCAACGACTTTAAGAGCTCTATAAGAACAGAAGAAAAAAGTTTGCTTTACATAGATTACTAAAGGATTTAAGGAAACCAGACCCATCAGCAAAGAGAGAAGTAAGAAGATGTACAGTTTTCAAATAACTATATTTGTTTATTAAGATATTGACCTCATTTTAACAACATCGAATAGGTAATTCACAAGGCTTTAATTACTTATCTCATGTTAGTTAGTTAGTGGACTTCATAGGGTGAACACCTATGTTCGGTTGCTCTGCTACATAGTTACGAGTTTTTGAGTTTTACTGAGTTAATCCCTTGCCCCCCAACCAGTTTCTGGTATGGCTGGTCAACTTTACAGGGATGTTTCTGGGAAAACCATTATAGTGGATGGTGTTTCGGCATCATTGTTCTATGTCTTTGATAGATACCTAGATAAAGCAGTCATTAATGCAACCCTTGCTAGAAACTTTGGGTCTGAGGCTTTAAAAAGTTCAAGAGCTCTTCTTTACCAAACATTTTCCCTACAGGATGATAACGGGAAAATTGCAGAGAAGAGAACAGAGCAGACCTTGTTAAAGGATCTGTGGGAGAAGGTGACCAAGATAGATCTGATGGGACATGGAGATGTTATCATTACCATGCCCTACAATTTCTCCATTCCCCAGTTTGTTAGTGAAGCTGATTAGATAAGCAAAATTGTATAAAAACATTAACTCTCTTCTCTGATGTACTTTGTTTACAAGAAAATTTTCTACTAGATGTTGGAAACTAGAAGTATAACAACACACATAAACTTAAAAATTATTTTAGTGATTCCTATGATATGTTCATAAAGCCTGCTTTTAAAAATGACTTTAACATATCTAAAGGACGGGGATCTGGTGGTCTTGCAATAATGTGGAGGAAAACCCTGACTAAATATGTGACAAATATCAAAAGTGATTTGTACCGAGTTCAGGCAGTAAAATTTAACTTTCCGTCTGCAGATTTACTGATAGTTAATTTATACCTGATGGTTGACCCTCAAGTTGACCAGTTTGATGAAATAGGTTTACTAAACCTACTTGCTGAGGTAAACCGGATAATTCAAAGCTCAGAATGCAGAAATATTTTACTTGCTGGTGATCTGAATTGTGATTTTTAGTGAGAGACTCTGTTTGTAAACACTGTGCGTAAGTTTGTCAATGACAATAATCTATGTATTTTCTGGTCTCTGTCGGATGAATGTAAATCTCATAGAATAGAGGAAGTAAAAGCTACATACTCCTCTTCAGTTAATGGTGTAGAATACTTCTCTTGTATAGATCATTTCTTAGGAAACCAGCGTCTGTATAATGCAGTTTCAGAAGCTGGAGTTATTAACAGTCCTGATAATCACTCTGGACATTCTCCTATTTATACAAGGATGAATGTGGATCAACTAAATCTTGAAGTAGAAGTACCAGAGAAAGTTCCCAAACACAGTTGGGCAAATGCTAATGATGAAGAAAAAGAGAACTTTGCAACAATTATTTGGAAAACCTAAATCCACCAATTGAGTTTCCGGATTGTGATTCCTTAAAATGTGTAGAGCATGATGTAACAGTGGACACATATGCTACTAGTATATGTGAAGCGTTGGATCAAGCAGTTTCTACTAGTCTCCCTCTTGTTGAACAACCATTACAACAGGGTGGACAAAAAGTAATTCCAGGGTGGACAGAATATGTGAAACCGTACCAGGATGAAAGTCTATTCAGGATGTCCTGAAGTAGGAGAACTATATGAAATAAATAGGCAAGCTAAAATGCAATAAATGCTATAAATATGCTGTGCGTAGGCTTAAACGAGCAGCTTACAATATTAAAAAGGATAAGCTACTTACAGGGCTGCTAGACGGAGGATTGGATATTTTTCAAGAGATAAAGTTCCGTGGTAAAACTAGCACTGTATCAAGCAGTGTTGATGGTCACACTGGAGCAGAGGATATTTCAAATCATTCTGCCGATATTTACAGTGAACTTTATCAGAAACATGATTTAGGAGAGGAGTTTGCTCGGGTTCAGGGATCCATTGTTCTCCAGGTAGATCCTAGTCTACTGGGGGAGCTGGATAGAGTCAACGAGAAAATTGTGTTTGAAGCTCTAACTAAATTAAAGTCAGGGAAAAGTGATCCAACTTTCTCTTTTAATTTGGATTGTCTATTAAATTTGTGTGATGATCTCATAAAACATGTGACAATACTATTTAAATGGTTTCTGCGTACTGGTACAATTCCTGCATTTCTGCTTCTTTATACTATAGTACCTAGTGTTAAGGACAATCTCAGAGATATTTTATCAAGTGATAACTACAGAACCATTGCTATAGGTAGCTTATTATTTAAGTGGTTTGATTGGCTTATCATTATTCTTGAAGAGAATAAACTAGCAAAAGATGAGCTACAGTTTGGGTTTCGAGCTAAATCTAACACATCTATGTGTACTTGGGCGATAAACACTGATCATTATAATAAACTAGGCAGGCTGGGGAAGCGCTTAGTTTAGTTACGCATCTTGTATCCAACAGGGGAAGCTGGAAGCATAGATTAAAACAAAACTTCATCTTCAGCTTGGTGCACTGAAAGAGGAGTTTAACCCCTCGTGGGAATACAAGCCATGCACAACGATACCGGTTTATACTCGACCAGATGTGAGGACTGGACTGCCATGGAAGATACCTCTCAAGAGAGCTTTCAGGGATCACAACTCCCCATTTTGCATATGGGGTGCAGTTACGGGTAAATTCCTTAATTCCCTTAACTGGGAAACAGTATAAAATGAAGGAACACAGAGAGAAATCCCCTATACCCATCTTCCTACAAACCTCTTTATCTCTCTGTTACCTGCTCCACAACTCGATGTTAAAATAACTATTTGGAAAGGCCTTAAAGTGTAAAAACAAGAAACAAGAAGCAAGAAGAAAAAATAAATTTAACAGAAAAAAGTGGAAGGGAAATCTCTTGACAGTAGAGATGGGTGCTTAAAGCAAGATAAACAAGAAAGAAGAAGAAAACTTTGAACAGGGAAAATTAGAAGGAGATTTGAGCTTTACACTATCTATTTTTTCACCGATAGCAAATAAAGACAAATACACAGGATGGCAGACGTCCCATCCCCCCCTCTATGTCCTACTCGAGATAAAAACTGGAAAATGTGTAAAACGCCCCCCTCACCCCTCTCCCCCATCAAGAAAATTTTATTAAAAGTGTGTTAGCTAGGAATGCAGGAGCTGACACAATAATGTAACTGAAGCAAAATTTAAAAACAAACAAGGGAGAGAGTAACCTTGCCACTCTCAGTATATAGAATATAGATACAGGGCTCCAAAAAATAGTTCTGCCTCTGCAATTTGGCTAGCTGCAGAAAACATCCAAAAAAGTCATTTATTTTTATTTTCAAAATTAGCCAAAGTATGATTGAAGGATGGACAAGGAATGGACGATCAAGAAGAAAGAATGAAAAACAAGAAATATAGAAGTCTCAAAATGTTTCCATCTGATATCATATTGAGATTTAAAAATATTGTAAAATTTAATTAAAATAA